GTGTGCTTTTTAAAAAGATTCACCTTCCACACTATATGGGAGCTTGTTCGTGTCATAACGGAATCTCCATTTGCCACATTTTGAATCCCTCAGATTTTTTCAGCCCAAGCCAGAGTTTCAATTCAAGCCTGTTGACGAATTTGGTGGAACTATCTGTCGCATAACTTTACCTGCTAATGCTCCTATAAGTGAAATCGTCAGTTCACTACTACCTTCAACTGAAGCTGCTAAAAAGGATGCTTGTCTAAAGGCTGTGTATGAGTTGCACAACTTGGGTGTACTTAACGACTTTCTGTTGCCAGATTCAAAGGATGAAATTGAGGACGAATTGTCGGATGATGAATTTGATTTTGATAACATCAAAGGTGCATAAGTGGTTCAGTTATAAATCTAAGTTGTTTATGCTATTCGTTCGTTGTATAATGACATATATTTTACTTCCTGCTAGGTGAAGGCTGTTCACGAGGTGAACTGTATGAGATGGTTGTTCCTGTCTTATTTAAACAAAAGTGGGATCCATCAACAAGTTGTGTCAATCTTCATTCGTACTACATAAGGTTTGTGCCTCATCCCGCAGATAGGATCTACAAAAAGTTTGGTTTCTTCATGAAATCACCTCTTCCCATTGAGGCTGAGACTATGGATATCGATCTTCACCTTGCTCATCAAAGATCTGTAAGTGTAAAGATTTTTCCATCAGGAGTCAAAGAATTCGACAACGACGAGGTACTGAGCTATTAATTAGATAAATAATGAAACTTGAATGAACTTATCTTATTTGATTATGTTTATACAGATAAGGCTAGCAGAGCTTTTCCAGGAGGTTGCCCTGAAGGTTCTTTTTGAACGGGGGGAGCTGATCCCGGAATTTGTTCCCTTAGAACTGCAAAACTCTTCTAGAACAAGCAAGTCTACCTTCTATCTTCTTCTTCCAATCAGTCTGCATGATGCAGAAAGTGTTATATCTGTAGATTGGGCGACTATCAGGAGCTGCTTGTCATCACCAATCTTTAAGACTCCATCTGTTTTAGTGGAAGATATAGTTCCTCCTACGGGCTCTCATTTAAAGCTAGCAAATGGCTGCTGGAATATTGATGATGTGAAGAACAGCTTGGTTTTTATGACCCACAATAAACAGTTTTACTTTGTTGCTGATATCTGCTATGGAAGAAATGGTTTCAGTCCTGTTAAGGAATCTAGCACCAAAAGCCATATGGAGAGCATATATAAGTTGTAAGCTACTAAACTTCTACTATTCAGTAATTGTTCGATTGAGACTTTTCTCAGGGACGTATTCTCTTTTTTTTTTCTTTCTTTCTTGTTAATGTTCTTTATCCTTTTCTACAGAGCAGTATAACAATCCATTATAAAATTGTTTTGGACTCTAGACTTTAGGATCGTATGATTTTCTGAGTTTAAGAACCTTCTCATTTTTATGCGCAAACTAGGTATGGCGTGGAACTCAAGTATCCTGGACAGCCACTCTTGCGTGTGAAACCACTTTGTCATGTTCGAAACTTGCTTCACAACCGAATGCAGAAGAATTTGGGTAAATTTTCTTAAGTGATTTTTGCATATCACAATTTTCTTGTGCATGTACATGTACACACAGCACACCCTTTGTATACTCTAATTGTGTACCATTCTCATGTTATGTTAATAACATTCTCACATTGCCAAGAACAGAACCACAAGAACTTGACGAATACTTTATAGAGATTCCTCCCGAGCTTTCTCAGTTAAAGATCAAAGGATTATCTAAAGATATCGGAAGCTCGTTATCCTTGCTACCATCAATCATGCATCGTATGGAGAATTTACTCGTGGCTATTGAACTGAAACATGTGCTGTCTGCTTCGATCCCTGAGATAGCTGAAGTTTCTGGTCACAGAGTATGATCTCATTTTACTTGATAACCCATTTGCTTGATTTTCCTAAAATTTGTTGATTTTTGATACTTTACTGACCGAGTGAATTGGTATAGGTACTCGAGGCGCTCACAACAGAGAAATGTCATGAGCGCCTTTCTCTTGAAAGGCTTGAGGTGCTTGGTGATGCATTCCTCAAGTTTGCTGTTAGCCGACACCTTTTTCTACACCATGATAGGCTTGATGAAGGAGAGTTGACTCGGAGACGCTCTAACGTGGTTAACAATTCCAACTTGTGCAGGCTTGCAATAAAAAGAAATTTGCAGGTTCTCAGATTTCCTATAAATGCTTTGATTGCTGGTACATTTTAAATCTGGTTTTAGCTGTGATTGCTGCACACAACGCAAATACTGATCATGTGCATAAAGCGCCGTTAGAACCGCTGCCTCCATACATTTAATACATTCTCAGTTACATATTTTCAAAAACAAAGCTTTTAGATAGAGGCAGACAAAAACGTATTAATTTTATTATTTAATTTTGGATAATATTAACTTGTGCGTTTTTCCCAGGTCTACATCCGTGATCAAGCACTCGATCCTACTCAGTTCTTTGCATTTGGCCATCCATGCAGAGTAACCTGTGACGAGGTAGCGAGTATAGAGATTCATTCCTTGAATAGGGATCCTGGGCTCTTGGAGTCAAATACTGGTGAAATCAGATGTAGCAAAGGCCATCACTGGTTGTACAAGAAAACAATTGCTGATGTGGTTGAGGCTCTTGTGGGAGCTTTCTTAGTTGACAGTGGCTTCAAAGGTGCTGTGAAATTTCTTAGGTGGATTGGTGTAAATGTTGATTTTGAATCCCTGCAAGTACAAGATGCTTGTATTGCAAGCAGGCGCTACATGCCCCTCACTACTCGCAATAATTTGGAGGCCCTTGAAAACCAGCTTGGCTATAAGTTCCTCCACAAAGGTCTAGTTGTACAAGCCTTTATCCATCCATCTTACAACAGGCATGGAGGAGGCTGCTACCAGGTATTTTTGTGTTTCCTTCTTATTTTTCATTTCTCTCGATAATATCCATCTATGGTAACCAAATTTCTTTAATTGGGGGTCCGCAGAGATTGGAGTTTCTTGGGGATGCTGTTCTGGACTACTTGATGACATCCTATTTTTTCACTGTCTTCCCGAAACTGAAACCTGGTCAACTGACCGATCTAAGATCGCTCTCAGTAAATAATAAGGCGCTAGCAAATGTTGCTGTCAGTTTTTCGCTAAAGAGATTTCTATTTTGCGAGTCCATTTATCTCCATGAAGCTATAGAGGATTATACCAATTTCCTGGCAGCGTCCCCATTGGCAAGTGGACCATCTGAAGGTCCAAGATGCCCAAAGGTGCGTTTCAATCTTCCCCTCACATGTCATAGTAAAACTATGACAAGATTCACTCCTATTGGTATCATCTGACTTACATTTTGAGAATCTCGAACTATCTCTGTTACCTTTCTACCTTAATTTCTTTCTATCTATACGAGATGTTGAATTGAAGAGACTATGCCCATCTCATTAGTTTAGTTTGCAGTCAATTAATATCTTAATTATATAAGAACACACATAGCTATATTAGTGGAATAACTAATATAGGTATTATATAATTTTATGCAGGTTCTTGGTGACTTGGTAGAATCCTGTTTGGGGGCCCTTCTCCTCGATTGTGGGTTCAACTTGAATCATGTCTGGACGATGATGCTATCATTTCTAGATCCGGCCAAAAACTTGTCTAACCTGCAGATTAGTCCTATAAAGGAACTGATTGAACTTTGCCAGTCTTACAAGTGGGATCGGGAAATATCAGCGACGAAAAAGGATGGTGGTTTTTCTGTTGAATTAAAAGTGACCAAGAAAGGTTGTTGCCTTACAGCTTCTGCAACTGGTCGGAACAAAAGAGAGAGCACAAAAAAGGCTGCACAGCTGATGATTACAAACCTGAAGGTAATTTTTCATAAAGTCAAAAGAAACTGTAGTGTAACAAATTTCTTCAATTGATGTGATGTATATTTATCTTAAGCTACCTAGTGTTCATATATGTAACTCGTTATTTGAGAACTTCTTTGTGTAATTCATCCGCAGGCTCATGAGCACATAACAACCTCCCATCCGTTGGAGGATGTTCTGAAGAATAGCAACCTTAATGAAGCTAAATTAATAGGCTACAATGAAGATCCTATAGATGTTGTGGATCTTGTTGAGGTGGACGTTGAAAACCTAAAAATCCAAGAAAATCTTGGCGAGAATGGTGAAATAAGCAGCTCATACATTATCAGACGAGGTCTCCCCCAGGCACCATCTAAAACAGAAGACAGGCTTCCTCAAAAGACCATCATAGAAGCAGGTATGTGGATGGATTCTTGTGTATTTATCAGGAGACTGTAAATTTGGTGCAATCTTGAATTATCGATTCTATTACTCAAACTCCACAGGTAGACCAAGCAGCAAACCCGCAAAATCCCTCTTGAACGAAACATGTGTTGCTAACTGTTGGAAGCCACCGCACTTCGAATGTTGTGAGGAGGAAGGACCAGGCCACCTGAAATCGTAAGTAAATTGATCAAACACTGCTAAATCTCTGAACTTGAGCGAGCTAGAAACTTAATATAGAAAATATCAGTTATTGGATATTTATGACATCAGTTGTTTGCATGTATACAGATTCACCTATAAGGTAATCCTGGAAGTTGAAGATGCGCCCAATATGACATTGGAGTGTTATGGTGAGGCTAGCGCAACAAAGAAAGGTGCAGCTGAGCGCGCTGCCCAAGCTGCTATATGGTGCCTCAAGCATTCTGGATTCCTTTGATGATGATTTCGCGCGGCTATATTTCGGTTATAAATAGAGGTTATCATAGACATATAACTTTACCAGAGCTACATATTAGCATATATGATCGACACATACAATTTCTCGAAAGAGAGAAAAGGGTGTCAGAAGACTAACCTTAAACCATATATTTTGGAGCGAAGAGAGTTTTCTTCGATCGCTTTTCTGAATATAAGTATATGTTTACTTGACACCCATAGCATGATAGGCCCCCAAAAAAATAGTTTACTCTCATCTCTCATGCATCAAATATGATCCCGTGTGATCTTCATTAAACCATATATGAACTGAGCGTTAACTGGTCTTACATTTTCAAAAGAACAAGCAATTGGGACTAGAAAAAGCAAATGAGAATGTTGAGATGGTGTGAAAACTTTGACTTAAGAATAGTTTCAGAAGTAGAAAGGGGAAACAGTTGACAAAGAAATAGTAGGCAAGATTTTGCTTGCAGGAGTGACATTGTGAAGAAGAAACAAAGGAAATATGATTGATCTATACAAGAGAATCAATGAGCAACTTCTCTTGGACCAGATGAGAGACTTCATCACCCAACTCTAATCACAAGAAATACAATTTTCTTAGTGTGAAATAAATATAAAACAAGAAAAGTACAACTAAAATATGGAGCAAGCTCTCATGTTTAACCACAATATGAGACTCTCCAAGAGTATCCCAAACCATCTTTCTGTCATTACTCCCTTTCCCTTTCACCGCGTTCATCTCTGCCTCCACTCTTCGCCGTAGTTCCAGTTTCGTCTTTTCCATCTCCATGATAGCCATTGTTGCTGTATCTTCAGCCATTTGAATCCTTAGCTCTGCTTTCTTTTTCCACATCTCAAGCTCTACTGCTCTTTCTTTTTCCCTAAGAGCTTCTTTGCAAGCGGCGTGGTACATGTTCATCGTTTCCTTCAGCTCTTTCTTCAGCCTTCTCATCTCAGCCTCGGCGTCATCCGTTGGTGATAGTGGGGAAGCTAATGTACAATTCTTTTCATCAGAAGGACTATTAAGATAGACAGAAAACTTGGCTTTCTCATCATCCAGACCAGAGAATCTAGGAAACTCCAACATGTGTGGAGCTGCAAGTTTCTCATAGAAGGAGAGAACCGAACTGTCTGTACTGAACCTGCTACTAATGTTCACACTAGAATCTGGGTCAAGGGATGAAAACTCCTCAAAGAAAACGTCGTCTTCTCTTGACAATGACCTGTGAGAGCCAATCAATTCAAGAATTTTAATCTCTAGGCATAAACAAACATAATGTAACAGGTTTATAGTAGATTACATCTCAGAGGGAGCCTCATCGGCGTTGCTGTGTGGTGACAATGGTGCAGTCCCTGAAGAAGAAGATAGCAAGGCTTGAGGTAAAGGCCGAGTGGCTGATCGTACACTTGATAGTCTTCCCTTTGATATGACTAATACACTGCAGAAGTCTGCAGCCCATCTCATCACATTACTTGGAATGTCATCAGCCTTGAACAGCCTTCAAATCAAAACCATTTTGGGAAAAAAATTCAGCACAAGATTATATATTGGTACTGATTTCAGAGAGAGAGAGATAGCAATACTATTTTGAGAACCTGGTAATGCTCTTCTTCAATGAGGCACCTAGCAAGAATGTGGAAATACAATTCTGGCTGATATATTCGATCAAGGCTTTCGCCACATCTTGATCTTCAAGCAAAACTATTTCGCTTTGTATCTATATACAGACAATAATCAGAGATGCTTTACAAAAACATGTAAAAAAAGAAGAAAGAAAGCAAAGAAAACAGACCTCATACTTACATTTCTTCGCATACAAAGACAACGCAATGGAAGAAACAGAGTGCTCCGTTTATCATTGTGTGGTCTATCAGATGATTCATCATCTGTGTTGTAAGATCCATTTGCATTATTCAAAGCAGATCTTTGGATGACATGAACGAGTTTCACAGTCCCGCCTCGGGGTATATAATGATCGACAGCCCATTTAAGAGCTTGACAGCTTGTTGTTTTATCTCTATCAATTGCAATAGCTATAGGCCCTTCCCTTATTTCATTTCTCTCCATATTATCTCTCATATTCGAGATCATTTTCCACTCAAGAGAATCTTATATTGGCAAAGTAAAAGACCTCATTTGGAATTGGAGAAGAAGATAAACATCTAATAACCAGGAAATAAACATGTGAGTAGAGCCAATATGAGATTTGAAAAGACTTAATAAGAGGTGTAGAGAAATAAAAGAAAATCAAACCCCTTCCACTTTGGGAGGAGAACCGAATCTAGCTAAAAATAGAAGTACTGTTATCAACAAGAGTTAATATGCATGCAGGGACAAAACTAACTCCAGGACATGCACCAAAAAAACTGTTATTGAAACATAAAAACCACCCACCAGTATGTTTCAAACAACATCATGAAAAAAAAAAAACTAGAAAAGTCAAGTTTCCGTGGCCGTGTTGAAAAAAGATCAGTTGGAACTAACGCATGAACATATCAAAATCATATACCGAAGCTGAGATACTTGAAGTTGAAGCAAAGGGTAGGCATTATGGTTAATTCGGGTTCAGTAATTGCATTTTAATTTCAGTTCGGTTTCGGTTTGGTTCGGTTTGAGATCTACATTTTAGTTAACAAATTCATACAGCCTTGTAGGTTAGCGAGTGGTATGGGGCGCACATTAGCGTGCACGCAAGAAACAAGAGAAACAAAGAGAAAACAACCAAAACAACATCTCGGCATCTTCTTCGTTATCCTAATTCCTAAACCTACCCTTTGTCTTACCTCGATCTCGCCAACACTGTCACCAACACAAGGTTCTCTCCGATTTCTCTTCTTTTCGTCGTCTACTTTTCTCCAAAACCAATTGAATTTTTCTGGGTGGATTTCACAATTTGTGTTTTTTCTTCTTTTTCTTTAGTCGGTGTATTGTGCGGTGGAGAGTTTCTCACTCTCTTCTTCTTATCCATCGGAATTTCTTGAGCTCCATTTTTGTCTATTTCTAGTTTTTGGTTGACCCAATTTTGCTTCATACAAATAATGGATGTCTCTTCTTTAGTTGCGATTGACCCAAGTTTACGTCAAGAATTTTTTTGATACTCTTTCAATTTCTATACTATGAAATGTGTTTTGCTTAGCTCTCTTTTTGGGTCATTGGGTTGCGAATCTTAGGTCATTGGGTTCCAATGAGCTCACTTACAGAACATGGAATTTGGGGAATTGGATTCCGTTGTCAGCGATGGCATTATATTTCCCTATGCAACTTTAGATTTTGCAGCTGTTTTGTAATTCTTGCATATCATCTTAGCAAGTGAACAAGATTGTGTGGCATAACTTTAAAAGCATTTTCCTGTTGTGGATCTGTTGGGCAGGTAGTAATGAAAGGCTTCAAAGACTGGGTTTTCGCTCTATCTAACTCAATGGCATCATCTAGACCACTTTTGGGGAGTGACCCTTTTTTCCGTGACTCTCAAGAACAAGATACCCACTGTATGATATCTCTCTTCCTTCCTCCTATCCTCTGTTTGTCTCCTGAACGATGAGTGATGAACCTGATTTATGGGTTTATATGTTACAATGAGAACACCATTATGAGTTGGGTGTGGATATATTATCTCTTAAACTGATCTACTACTTAACCTCTCCTTGTGCTCTGTGACCATATCTTCATTATGCTAGTCACTGTTTTTCTTGAAATATCTAAGAAGTACGTCCTTTGTTTTACTCTAATTTGGTCTGGAGACTTTGTTGCTATGTCCATTGCTTTTCAAATTGAATTGGAGTTTTTTTTTCTGATACTTTTGCCAATTGCTGAGACTATCCAGGTTGATTATTTGATCAATCTAAGAAGTTTCTCTTCTTGTTGTTTTCTTAATATATTATTTGACTAATAACTTTCAATGTTCTTTTTAGCTCAAGCACCTGCTGCACCAGAACCAGTGACAGGCTTAGAAACACCATGTTCAACCAGTGGTGATGTAGAAATTCAGCCTCCGCTCTCTCAGCAACAAGTTCCACTTGAAAGCTTGTACCAGTCAAGTATTGATCTTAACGGAAAGAAACATAATCCACTAGCAAAGATTGGTGACCTCCAAGTGCAGTTCTTACGCCTTGTTCAAAGGTTTGGGCAGTCACAGAATAATATTCTAGTCTCCAAGGTTTTATATCGGGTACACCTTGCAATGCTGATACGAGCTGAGGAATCAGAACTTAAATCTGTAAAACTTAGGCAAGATAGGGCCAAAGCTTTAGCAAGGGAACAAGAATCATCTGGTATACCGGAGCTTGATTTCTCACTTAGAATTCTTGTCCTGGGGAAAACAGGTGTCGGCAAGAGTGCTACCATAAACTCTATTTTTGGTCAGTCCAAAAGTGAAACTGATGCTTTCCGACCGGGCACAGATCGCATAGAAGAGGTTATGGGAACTGTCAGTGGAGTTAAAGTAACCTTTATTGATACTCCTGGTTTTCACCCACTGTCATCTTCTAGCACAAGAAAAAACCGAAAGATTCTCCTCTCTATCAAGAGATACGTTAAGAAGCGTCCACCTGATGTGGTTCTTTACTTGGACCGCCTTGATATGATCGACTTGCGATACAGTGATTTCTCCCTCCTGCAGCTTATAACTGAAATCTTGGGTGCAGCTATATGGTTAAACACGATTCTTGTAATGACGCATTCCGCAGCTACTACAGAAGGACGTAATGGACAATCTGTGAACTACGAGTCATATGTGGGCCAGCGCATGGATGTGGTTCAGCATTATATACATCAGGCTGTGTCTGATACAAAACTAGAAAACCCTGTGCTGTTAGTTGAGAATCATCCAAGCTGTAAAAAGAATCTTGCTGGTGAGTATGTTCTTCCAAATGGGTTGGTATGGAAGCCTCAGTTTATGTTTTTGTGCGTTTGTACCAAAGTTCTTGGCGATGTCCAATCTTTACTGAGGTTTCGTGACAGCATTGGCCTGGGACAGCCAAGTAGTACCCGAGCAGCTTCCCTTCCTCATCTTCTTTCAGTATTTTTGCGCCGTCGCTTATCAACAGGTCCAGATGAAGCAGAAAAAGAGATAGACGAGCTTCTGAATTTGGATTTAGAGGAGGAAGATGAGTATGACCAGTTGCCTACAATCCGTATCCTTGGGAAATCTCGGTTTGAGAAGCTGTCAAAGTCCCAGAAGAAAGAGTATCTCGATGAGCTTGATTACAGGGAAACCCTTTATCTGAAGAAACAATTAAAGGAAGAATGCCGAAGACGACGGGATGAAAAGCTAATTGAAGAGGAAAATCTCAGTGACACTGAACAGAGCGACCAAGCAGCTGTTCCACTGCCTGACATGGCAGGTCCAGACAGTTTTGATTCGGATTTTCCAGCTCACAGATATCGATGTGTTGTGTCAGGTGACCAGTTGCTCGTAAGACCTGTCTATGATCCACAAGGTTGGGATCGCGATGTGGGATTTGATGGAATAAATATTGAGTCGGCTGCAAAAATAAATAGGAATCTATTTGCTTCAGCTACAGGACAGGTGAGCAGCGACAAGCAACGTTTCACTATCCAATCCGAGACTAATGCAGCTTATACTAGAAACTCTAGAGAACAGACGTTCGCTGTAGCTGTTGACCTTCAATCATCAGGAGAAGATCTGGTGTACTCGTTCCAGGGCGGCACTAAGCTCCAAACATTTAAGCACAACACAACTGATCTTGGAGTTGGTTTGACATCTTTTGGTGGGAAATACTATGTGGGCGGAAAGCTTGAGGATACCTTATTGGTTGGGAAGAGGGTGAAGTTAACTGTGAATGCAGGTCAGATGAGGGGTTCAGGGAAAACAGCACACGGCGGGAGCTTTGAAGCTTGTTTCAGAGGGAGAGATTACCCGGTTAGAAATGAGCAAATCGGTGTGACAATGACGGCTCTGTCTTTCAACCGAGAGCTGGTCTTGAACTATGGTTTACAGACTCAGCTTAGACCAGCCCGGGGCACGAACATAGACGTCAACATAAACATGAACAATAGGAAAATGGGGAAGATAAACGTGAAACTCAACAGCTCTGAGCATTGGGAGATTGCTTTGATATCAGCGTTAACGATGTTCAAGGCTTTAGTACGGCGGAGGAAGAGTGAAATGACAAAGGAAAATGAAGAAGAAGAGTTGTGACTTTTCTGCGTTCCTGGTTTCTCTCGAAAATTAGGTAAAGAAAAGATATTCTGGACACATATGAATAGGTAACTGATGTAAGAGATATTTGGAAGACAGAACATGCACATCTCCTTCAATTGTTCTATATATTATACTCTTGTCTTGTTGATAACTGATGTGCATGAGTCTCGTTGGTCTAGTGTGAAATGTTTATGTGGTCGTTAGAACAGATTTTGGCTCTCAAATATGATGCAAAAATCAAAATGTTAGTCATTTGTTCACTCACAAGTAGAGAGAAAAATATATGCTTTAGAAAAAGAAAAAAAAATGTTTAAATTGCAGTCAAAATAGCATAATTAGTAAAATAGATCTTTATTTGATATCTGTTGAAATAAAATACTTAAAACAAGAAATTATTTAAATAATGAAAGAAGAAGAAGTGAGAGACGAGAGATGATGAAAGATAAAATGATTACTTGACTTATGTTTACAAGAGGAAGCCAACGTTTATATAGTATGACTAACGTGGGGAGTAAGCTAGATTTAGATAATAGGATAAACTTAAAATGACTTGGGGAGCAAGACTTTTAGAGATAGGAGGATAATAATAAAGGTAATTATCCAATCTCAACACTCCCCCTTAATTACCTATTATTGTGTACTGCCTCGTTAAAAACCTTATCATGGAAAAACCCAGTGGGTTAAAAACCATGATAAAGGAAAAGAGTACAGTGACGCAATCTCCCCTGGAACAGACGAATCTTGTTCTCTTCATAGCTTTTGTAGATGATGCATCTCGATTATGCTCTACGCTTCTTCTGATCTCGTCAATGAATGACAAAGATTTTTGAAGAGAGATAGACCTTCACTTTGATGTCTATCTTTTGCGTGTTATTTGCTGCCTCGTTAAAAACCTTGTCATGGAAAAACCCAGTAGGATAAAAACCATGATAAGGGAAAAAGAGTGCAGCCACGCTCATCATCATATGTCTCCCCCTGGAAGCATCATCTTTAAAAGAGACCTTTTGATCTGCGAAGATGCTTTAAAATGTTGTAGCAGGAAGCGCCTTTGAACTGAAACTGCTACATTGTTACTTGGCATGATATACCGAACATCAACTTCCTGCTTCTTCTCAGATTCTTGGGTGCAAAAGAAGAATCTTGGAGAAATATGTCTTGTCATCTCGCTCTTGACATATCTTTCTTTGTGTTGGGAAACATATGCAACATTGTCTTGTTGTTGGCTCTTCACTGGTGACTATATTTCTTGCTTCTTGTATATGTTGAGTGTATAGATCTGAGCCATACAGATACTCGACATGCTTCATGGAGCGCAATAATTTTGGCATGGCTTGAACAAGCGACGACCAAAATTTCTTGTTGGAAACGCCACGAAGTTGTTGTTTTGCAATATATATTTATATAGATCTGATATAGATTCTCCATCTGCAAAACCAACTAAACCAAACTCGGGGTTTCTAGAATAAAATAAACCCAAGTTAATCGTACCTTGCAGATATGGTAGACACATTTGAACTCATTCAAGGTCAAGTCGGAGGAGATCAATTAATCCTGCAAGTAGATCAGTAGCAAATGCTAGGTACAATATATTCACTAGATATATAAATGCTCGTCAGCATTTATATATGCTAGTTACAATTCACAAAATATATAAATACTCAGTCAGCATTTATATATAGTGCTTCATGATCAAATATATAGAGTCGACTTTCTTTAGAAGTGACTAATATAACATCTGTTTCTTTAGATGTTTAGTTGGAATATCTGGAGACACTTTTGTCTTTCCAAGATCTTTTATTCCAAATAACTCTTCAAGAGTTTTGATGATGTTCAAAATCATCATGCTTATAAGTTCTCGAGAATATAATTATGATATCATATATCTTTCGGGGATTAGTCCTATAGACATCCCATGAGACGCAATTCAAGTCATTTATTTATCAACTCAATATCGAGTGATTTTGACAAAACTCGGCGCGACACACCGTTTTGTCTTGAATATCATAATACTCTTTTGATGCTTGGACCATGTGTCCAAGAATTACTCGTTTCTTATACGAGATTAATATAAACTTGGCTGCGTCTTTGTTTATTGGCCAATATTTATCTCTTTACGCTCACAGAGCAGAGATTTATGATCCTCATGAATCACATTTGCGATCTAGATCATTTTTATTATCGACATTGTATAGTCTTTGGTTCCATATTCGCCGTAATGACATGGTTAATCGAGATCTCTTAATCATTATAAATGATTTTATTTAGGTAACTGATTTCGTTTTCAACCATGCCAATCGGTCTTTTTACTCCTCTTTAGGAGTCTCTTTGCTTCTCTTGAGGAGTCTCTATGATCCTCTTTAGAAGTTTATATGCTCCTCTTTTAAGAGTTTAATCCTCTTTTTAATAATAATATGCTCTTTTTTATTTTCGAGGATTTTCTTTATATTTGGAACCAAAGTTGTCTATCACGTTTTTTACGTGTTATAGACAATAATATGTCATCCGCCAGAGACATAGTTTTGTAGAGCAATTTTAGCTCGGACAAGAGATTTCTTATGAAATTTAAGTTCATATGCATTTATACGAGGATCAATAATTTCATGAAATCTCATCCATCAGCTTGTTGCATTTGATTTGCAATTTATTCTGAATAGTGATCTATTTGAACTTTTGAACTCTTAAGTTCATATTTATTATAATCATTTGTTCAAAGATCCAAACTATTCAATAATTTTCCCATAATGATGGAAATTTTTATCATCAACATGATGATTTGCAAATCTTGCAATAGGCACATCTCTAAAAGATGGCTCAGTATTTATAGAGCAGAGACTCATCTCCTGCATCTATATATTTCATCCTTTTTGGATGATATTTTTATGCAGTGCAGAGGAGCATTTATAACATATATCTCACACGCATAAAATTTAAAAATGAGAAATATTTGATCTTCAATCATGTATATATAACATGAGAGAATATTTCTTATAAATTGTTGACCTTATATATATAATATTAATACATGCAAAACTGCATCTTCCATGTAAAAACATGGAGATTAAATCACCATAAATCGTTTTGCAATCTCTTAGATTTGCGTTATGAACGATTCGCTAAAAGCTCATTTTGAGAGTGAACATCATTTTTAGATGTTCCACTTTATCAAAAAGTGATAAATTTTAGGATATGACTTCACCAAAGTTATTTCGCTCTGGGATGTCAAACTCACCAAAATTTATCGACTTATTGTCGATATGGGATTCCTTTAATTCTCCCCCTCGAGATAATAACTCTTCGAGTTCATTCATCTCGAACTGAATCCCACTTTAGGATCAATAACATAACCGATACGGATAATGTATTTAATCTTAGATCCTTATAAAAAATGTGGGACTTGTAATACCCCTTCTCAAGATGATGGCTTTTCAAGCCTATTTATCTTGGACCGAGTCTTATTTTTAGATCGGTTATATTTGGGGATTAATTTGGGGATTATCGAGGAAATCAACCAGCATATACAATGAGCTTATTAAATAAAAAAATGGTGATTTGGCCAAAAATCATATGCTTCTGGAGGCTTAGCCTACTACAGAATTAAAGAGAAGGTATACAACCTTCGAATCCATATATAATATAAAATTTCAATAAATTTAAATGAATGTAAATAAATTCAACATAAATTAAATGTTACCTCAGAAATGTGGACGGAAGTATGCAGTGCTTGAATAAGCTTCTCTGCCTTTATATAAAAATTTGTGATATTTAATCACTCTTTTGAGTTCCAATTTAGGTCATCAACATATACAACAATGATCACAAATCTCGATAGAGATTTCTAAATAAAGACGCAAAGGGCATATATCGTTATTAACAGATATACCCTTTCTTTAACAAATAATCGCTTAAGCGATAATATCACATGCGTCTGGATTATTTTAATCCGTAAAGTGATCGCTGTAATTTGACCGTACATATTTCATTAGACTCAAAGTCTAATGTTTCTGGAACTTTTAATCCTCTTGGGATTTTCATATAAATATCATTTTTCAATGATCCGTATAAATATGCTGTCACTACATCCATAAGGTACATTTCTAAATTATTAGAGGCCGCTAGGCTCATTAAGTACTTGAATGTAATTGCATCCATGACCGGAGAATATGTTTCTTCATAATCAAGTCCAGGTCTTTGAGAAAAACCTTGTGCAACAAGTCGGGCTTTATATCGTGTGATTTCAACTTTTACGCACGAAGACCCACTTGCACATAACAGGTTTTACATCTTTAGATGTAGTGACAAGAGGTCCAAAGACATCTCTTTTATTAAGGAAGAGCAATTCAATATATTGCACTTTTGTTTTTTCAATCAGGCCCTTGCTGGCACTGATACGGATCCTGGATCTGGATCATTATCATCAAATCCATTTTTCTACCGGGATGGCTTGACCGGTTATGCTATGCTATAGCAATTAGCAAACTTCTGTTTACTATCATAAATATTTTGCCATCTTTATTTTTTGCATGATATAATCATATATTTGCGTGTCTCCATTGTGGTCGAATATTCAACACCACATTAATTTTTAGTCTCGATATAATAATTTTAAAGAAAAATATTTTGGAAACTACATGAGTTTCTTTGAGACTTTGGAGTACACAAAACATCGATTATTATGAATCTGATGCATTTGGAAGTCGAGAGACTAGCTCATCTAGACCTTCCAATTAATTTGCACTGTCTAAAAATATATTGACCCGTGCTTCATATATTCTCATAAGAGAAATTTATTTTTGATTTTAAAGACATATTTCAAAGTCTTTAAATCTCATATAACATATATATTTATTCTTAACGAATAAAAATAAATAAACATATAAATTTACAAAAAATAATAAATTATGGACTATAGCCTTTTTATGTAAGAATTCAGGAGACATCGCCTTCCATTAAGAATTCAATAGGCATAGCTTTCGTTTGATCGTAGAGAAGGAGGCAGAGCCTACCATATATATCGATCAATCCGGAAAAATATAAATTTTTATTTGATCGTTAGGAAGGTAAAACCTACTATATGACGATCGATCCGGAAAAAGCATAGCTATTTATTTGATCGTAAAGGAGGCATGGCCTACCATATATAACGATCTATCCGGAAAAGACATAGCTTTTTATTTGATCGTAAAGAAGGCAGAGCCTACCATTTATAACGATCAAACCGGAAAAAGGCATAGTCTCACGATGTCTAAAATAATTATGTTCTATAAACATAAATAAAATTTAAATAATATAAATTTTACTTACCTCGTAAACGCTCAAGCGGTAAAGACATCGTGCTGATAACGTGTTGAAATAAAATACTTAAAACAAGAAATTATTTAAATAATGAAAGAAGAAGAAGTGAGAGACGAGAGATGATGAAAGATAAAATGATTACTTGACTTATGTTTACAAGAGGAAGCCAACGTTTATATAGTATGACTAACGTGGGGAGTAAGCTAGATTTAGATAATAGGATAAACTTAAAATGACTTGGGGAGCAAGACTTTTAGAGATAGGAGGATAATAATAAAGGTAATTATCCAATCTCAACAATATCCATTAAATATAGAATTTTTGGTTTTTTTACTTAACAATTTTATGAAGTCTTCTTATCGAAGAGAAGAAAAAACTTACACGAAACAAATAAAAAGATTGGGTATTTCAATAATGACGGGCCCAAGTAATAAGATGGGCCAGATGATAATAGGCCTCAAAGGGTTACTAGGGTTTATACTCCCTATATATTTATATTTAAGCTCTTCGTTCACTCCTCTCTACACCGCGCAGCTAAACTTTGTTGGAGAAACCCTAATCGGCGACAATGGGTACGATCCATCTCTCCTCGCTTTCTCTTCGATTTCTCCACTCCTTCGATCTCGTTTCTGTGTATGCTATTGATGTTTAGATTCTAATATATGGATTCTGGTTTCTCTTAGGTATTTCTCGTGACTCCATCCACAAGAGGCGTGCCACTGGAGGCAAGCAGAAGCAATGGAGGAAGAAGCGAAAGTGAGTCTTTACATTTTCTCATTTTTCAGATCTCTTTCGATTCATTTTCTGCTCCGTTCGTCGTAGGTTAAAGTTTGTGAATCTCCGTTTTATTAACGCTTAAGAGATAGTCCGATATTGTGATCTGTTAAATCTGAGTATGTGCCTTTAGTAGATTCGGAATCTGTAGATTGCTGGAATTATTTCGCCAAATCATAGTATGTGATTCTTCATAAGCTATCCGATAATTGTTAAAACATAGTAATTGATGCGTTTCTCACATTTCTAGTGTCACTGATTCATGATATGTTGTTATTCGATTTATTTTGGTGTTGTATTTCTGATTTGTGAAGTTTTATGTTTGGGATTGTGAAGGTACGAGATGGGAAGGCAGCCAGCCAACACCAAGCTCTCAAGCAACAAGACGGTCAGAAGAATCAGAGTTCGTGGTGGAAATGTTAAGTGGCGTGCGTTGAGGCTCGATACTGGTAACTACTCTTGGGGAAGTGAAGCTGTTACCCGCAAGACCAGGGTCCTTGATGTCGTCTACAATGCCTCCAACAATGAGCTTGTCCGTACTAAGACACTTGTCAAGAGTGCTATTGTTCAGGTTGATGCTGCTCCTTTCAAGCAGTGGTACCTCTCGCACTATGGTGTTGAAGTTGGCCGCAAGAAGAAGAATGCTTCTTCCACCAAGAAGGACGCAGAGGTCAGTTCATTGAACAATTGATTTGCTTGTTATATGTTTGAGTCTGTTCATGTTTTATTGTTGATTGATATTGTTTTTCTTCTCTTTGATGAAATAAGTTAAATCATGTTTTTGTAGCAGTAATATAGAACTTACGATATATACTATATGTTGTTTACTGTATAGGAAGGTGAAGAGGTAGCCGCTGTTGAGGAGACCAAGAAGAGCAACCACCTCTCGAGAAAGATTGAGAGCCGTCAAGAGGGTCGCAGTCTTGATTCACACATTGAGGACCAATTCGCAAGTGGACGTTTGTTGGCTTGTATCTCTTCAAGGCCTGGCCAGTGCGGACGTGCTGATGGGTATTCATCTTTGTGCCTTATCCCATTATGTTTGTTTAATTCTCCTTAAATATGATTTGTTCATACGTTTTTGTAAATTATGTGCAGATACATCTTGGAAGGTAAAGAGTTGGAGTTCTACATGAAGAAGATCCAGAAGAAGAAGGGCAAGGGTGCCGCTTAGATTCTCTTCTTGTCTTACAACATGTTTTGAGTTTTCAGTTTCAGTTGTCTGAGAAACTATGTTTTTGGATTAGCTTGTGGTATTTCCATGAACTCCCATCAGTTATTATTATGGTACAATGTTTTTGTCTCGGATCTTTGTTTTAATTTTAATCGATAATATCAATGAATTCGGTCACTAGTTTTATACTGTCAAAATTAAGGTTATTAAACTTCGTCATTTCATTTGATCTTTTGTCTGTAGTTTAGACGTATCTACAAGATTGTTTTTTGAGCTCATCATAAGGAAGATATGAAGCCAGTTGGGCTTAGTCGTTATTAAGTCCAATTTAGGCCCAATGCTCCGAGGCAGGGTTATCTAGTAAACTAGAAAGTACGTTGTGTCTCTGAGCCACAAACTTGTAATCAACTATAGTTTTTGATGAGCTCAAAAAAAAATCAAATCTGGTTGTACAAAATCAGCTTGTAACAATAGCTGGTGGAAAAATAGTTGGCGGAACTGTAATTGACATGACATAATAATAACATGTTTTTTCACTTTTGTATGTGTCTCAATTATGAAAATGATGTGAAGATATTATCTGTTGTAAACTTGGTTGAAGGCAAGAGATCATTAGTGGTGGTAATTAAACTTTAAGAAATCGATTACAAAAATTAATAAAATAGGATCTAAAGATTGTAAATTGACCACAGAGAATATTCTGTTATTTTTTAAGAAAGATATTTTTCTTAAAATATACTAATTGCAAAAAAAGATTTGAGCCGTTCGAAACGGATGCGTGTCTTGGTGTCAAGACCAGTGTGTTCGTCACTAACCCCACCACACTCCAGCTGAGTGCCTTTGTCGTCTATCAAAATCAAAAGGTACGAGATTCAATCATCTCCAATCCCAAAACTCCACTTCTGTCCACAAAACCAAAGCAATTCTCGATCTTTGATCGTCGTCCCACCAGATGGCCGGGAACGATTGGGTAAACAGTTACTTGGAGGCGATTCTGGACGTTGGTCAGGGACTTGACGATGCTCGCTCTTCGCCATCGCTTCTTCTCAGGGAGAGAGGTCGATTCACTCCAAGCCGTTACTTTGTTGAGGAAGTCATCACTGGTTACGATGAGACTGATCTTCATAGATCCTGGGTTAAGGTAATTATTAATCATATAAAACAGTGAGTGTTATGTGATCGATTCATGTGATAAGTGTGTTTCTTTGGTTAGGCTGTTGCTACGAGGAGTCCACAGGAGAGGAACACGAGATTAGAGAATATGTGTTGGAGGATCTGGAATCTTGCTCGTCAAAAGAAGCAGGTCCTTTTTTTTCTACTTTTTGATGCGAATTTATCACACTGTTCTATTCAATTGTCTATTTATTCCGTTTTTTGCTCTTAACTTTAAAAAGTTGGTTTCAGAGAATTCATCAAGACGAGTTGTTGACTCTCAAGTCAAAATTTATTATTATTTTGGTCCTCTCTAGTTTGAATCTTTTCAAAGTCTGCATCTTGCAATCTCATTTTTTTAAAAGGGGATAAAAGTACATACGTAAGAAGAAGAAAAAGCGGGGAATAAATGTTAGTTTTAGTAGTAGCTTTTCCTGTTCTGCCTTTGAGAGCTGACTTTAACGCATAATTTGCAACCTTGGATCGTTGTGCTAGACTCTGTACTGGTGAAACATTAGTATCTTAAAAGTATGGAGAATTAATGTGTTTTGTTTACCTATTCTTATGTTTGTGTAGCATGAGGAAAAAGAAGCACAGAGGCTGGCTAAGCGCCGGCTTGAACGTGAGAAAGGTCGCAGAGAGGCAACAGCTGATATGTCTGAGGAGTTTTCAGAGGGAGAGAAAGGAGATATCATCAGTGATCTCTCAACTCATGGTGAAAGCACCAAACCAAGGTTGCCCAGAATTAATTCTGCTGACTCCATGGAGTTATGGGCTAGCCAACAGAAGGGAAATAAGCTCTATCTTGTTTTGATTAGGTATCTGACCAAACTCTGGTCTCTATGCCTTTTGTTTTTACATGTGAGATCTGCTCTGTTTTTCCCATGTAAGTTTTCACTTGGTAAAAGGGTTATAGTTAGGCTCACCTTCTAGGACCTGATTTAATATATAATCTGAGTAAATATATAGCAACTGATCTGTCAATTGAGAAGTGTAAGGATAATGATGGAAAGTATTAGAAGTGTTCTTGCGTGGTAGTTGTTTAACATTTCAGTATGCATGCAGTCTTCATGGACTCATACGTGGAGAAAACATGGAGCTCGGTCGCGATTCTGATACCGGTGGCCAGGTAATGATACAGACAGTTTGAGTGATTGTTATATGGTACAAAGGTAAGCTAGTCCTCCTCACACTGCTTTTTACGTTACAGGTTAAGTATGTTGTGGAACTTGCACGTGCATTGGGTTCAATGCCAGGAGTTTATAGGGTTGACTTGCTTACTAGACAAGTGTCTTCCCCAGATGTTGACTATAGTTATGGCGAACCGACGGAAATGCTGACTCCTAGAGATTCTGAAGATTTCTCGGATGAGATGGGGGAGAGTAGCGGTGCTTATATTGTGAGGATACCATTTGGTCCAAAGGACAAGTATATTCCAAAAGAACTTTTATGGCCTCACATTGCTGAATTCGTTGATGGTGCTATGAACCACATCATGCAAATGTCAAATGTTCTTGGTGAGCAAGTTGGTGTTGGGAAGCCTATTTGGCCTGCTGCCATCCATGGACACTATGCTGATGCTGGTGATGCCACTGCTTTACTGTCTGGTGCACTAAATGTGCCTATGCTCCTAACTGGCCACTCACTTGGTCGAGATAAATTAGAGCAGCTTTTGAGACAAGGCCGCCTTTCAAAAGAAGAAATAAATTCAACTTACAAGATTATGCGTCGAATAGAGGGTGAGGAATTATCTCTTGATGTTTCTGAAATGGTAATAACTAGCACTCGACAGGAGATCGATGAGCAATGGAGATTGTATGATGGTTTTGACCCCATATTGGAGCGCAAATTGCGAGCCAGAATCAAGCGGAATGTGAGCTGCTATGGGCGGTTCATGCCTCGCATGGTTGTAAGTAACTTAAACCCTCACTATTTTCTTGATCATTGACCATAGACATGGTTAACACGGACTGAACTATATGCTTTCCACAGTTGAGATTGTAGTGCTACTGATAGATTTCTTTAGGCCATGGCCCATGAGTGCTGTGTTTAGGTGCAGCAAACTTGTTTACATGTCTTTTAACTTTCAACACAGTATATTATCTTGCTGACTCTTTTATAGTATCAATAAAAATGTTCTCTGTTTAATTACTTCTTCTTCAGAAAATTCCACCTGGGATGGAGTTCAATCATATTGTCCCACATGGTGGTGATATGGAAGACACAGATGGGAACGAGGAACATCCAACTTCTCCAGATCCACCAATATGGGCTGAGGTTCTTTGCTTGAAAATGCAATCTATATCACCTTTATTAGTTTCTCCTGAGGAAAAACAATGACATTAATTCCTTTAAATAATATTTTCACATTAGCTTTCCGTTCAACATTTTACTTGACCTCCAAATTCTATATGTAATGCAGATAATGCGTTTCTTTTCGAATTCCCGAAAGCCTATGATACTTGCCCTTGCGAGGCCGGACCCAAAAAAGAACATCACGACGTTGGTGAAGGCATTTGGAGAATGTCGTCCACTGAGAGAGCTTGCTAACCTGGTATGTAAATGTCATATATGGGGTTGTTCATTTTAGTTTTCTGTTTTGATCACCATTTTGTTTTCCTTATATTCCATTGCAGGCACTTATTATGGGTAACCGAGATGGAATTGATGAAATGTCGAGCACGAGTTCTTCTGTCCTCCTATCTGTTCTAAAGCTAATTGACAAGTATGATCTCTACGGTCAAGTTGCGTACCCTAAACATCACAAACAGTCAGATGTTCCAGACATATATCGCCTAGCTGCAAAGTCAAAGGTACTCTTGGCAGACTTTGTCTCACCGTTCAGAAAAATTAGGATTTTTAAACTTGGTGACTTTCTTCAGACCTTATCACGTAGTTAAGTCAAGTTCATTATATTATTATATCATGCTGCTACTTTATTCAAGATCATTCGATTTATTGTCACCTTTAAGTTTCTTGAGCTGTTCACCATGAAATCAAGGCTCCGTTCACAAATAAACATTTCATCTCCAGATAATATCAATATCATATGATGCTTATCGTGACACAATCATAGCTTTGCTTCAACGGTTGGACACTACTCAAGATACTGGTGTCAGCTGTCAACTAACTCTTCTCTTTAGTACATTAATCATTGTTAATGGATTCTTTGCAGGGTGTTTTCATCAATCCAGCTATCATTGAACCATTTGGACTTACATTAATTGAGGTATTGCATTCTCTTGTTGTCAAATGTGTATGTTTCATGACTCGTTCTTGTCATCTGGGTAAAATGTGTTTCTGTTTTAACCTTCTAGGCTGCAGCTCATGGTTTACCTATGGTTGCTACAAAAAATGGTGGTCCTGTAGATATACACCGGGTATGTATTTTTACGATAAAACATTGAAGTCCCCAAGACTATTACTTACCTGGTCGTTTTTCCTAAAATGTACCTTGGGGGATTTTCTTCCAGGTCCTGGACAATGGCCTTCTTGTGGATCCTCATGATCAGCAATCTATTTCTGAAGCTCTTCTTAAGCTTGTTGCTGATAAGCACCTATGGGCAAAGTGTCGGCAAAACGGGTTGAAGAACATTCACCAATTCTCTTGGCCAGAGCACTGCAAAACTTATCTATCTCGCATAACCAGCTTCAAACCAAGACATCCGCAGTGGCAAAGTGATGATGGCGGTGATAATTCAGAACCCGAGTCACCTAGTGATTCTTTGAGAGATATACAGGATATATCCTTGAACTTAAAGTTTTCATTTGACGGAAGTGGGAACGATAGTTACATGAACCAAGGAGGGAGCTCCATGGACAGGAAGAGCAAAATCGAAGCTGCTGTTCAAAATTGGTCTAAAGGCAAAGATAGCCGCAAAATGGGTTCCCTGGAGAAGTCAGAGGTTAACTCAGGAAAATTCCCGGCGGTGCGGAGAAGGAAGTTTATTGTTGTTATTGCTCTTGATTTTGATGGGGAACAAGACATGCTAGAGGCTACAAAAAGAATTCTAGATGCGGTTGAAAAGGAAAGAGCAGAAGGATCTGTTGGGTTCATACTGTCGACATCTCTAACGATCTCTGAGGTACAATCTTTCTTGGTGTCAGGGGGCTTAAACCCGAATGATTTCGACGCTTTCATATGCAACAGCGGAAGTGATCTCCACTACACATCCCTCAACAACGAAGACGATCCTTTTGTTGTTGACTTTTACTACCACTCCCACATAGAATATCGGTGGGGCGGTGAAGGGCTGAGGAAGACTTTGATCCGTTGGGCATCTTCACTTAACGAGAAAAAGGCTGACAATGACGAGCAGATAGTCACCCTTGCTGAACATCTTTCAACTGACTACTGCTACACATTTACAGTCAAAAAGCCTGCAGCGGTAAATTTAACCAGGCGCAACATTATTAAGAACGTCTTGACAGATATTTTTCACAAATCTTCTTAGCTTTCCGTTAAAACAATTTGTATTGGTTTCTATTCCCAGGTACCTCCAGTAAGAGAGCTCCGGAAGCTGCTGAGAATCCAGGCTTTGCGTTGTCATGTCGTTTATAGTCAGAATGGCACCCGAATAAATGTCATACCGGTGCTGGCTTCTCGTATACAAGCCCTGAGGTAACTGATTGATTGCGTAACTATGGTTTCCGTTACAGAGCATTGCCCTTAACGACGGTTATGGTGAACCAGGTATTTGTTCGTTCGGTGGGGAATTGACATGGCGAAAATGGCAGTATTTGTGGGCGAATCAGGTGACACTGATTACGAAGGATTGCTTGGAGGGCTTCACAAGAGTGTTGTTCTAGAGGGAGTGTCTTGCAGCGCAAGCAACGCCTTGCACGCTAACCGGAGCTATCCTCTCACCGACGTGATATCCTTGGAGAGCAGCAACGTGGTTCACGCACCGCCAGATTCGGATGTTCGTGATGCCCTGAAGAAACTAGAGCTTCTCAAGGACTGAAACCTAAAATAAGACCCCCAGTCATCAATGGTTGGTACCAAATGCCAACTATCTTTTTCATATTTGACCACATGGTTTGGTTTGTTTATTACTTCGTCGTACATAAGCTGCCGGAAATACCTAACTCTTCATATGGTTGTCTTTTTGACACCCACCGGATTTTACTTAATTATGCAAGTACTGTAATAATAAAAAGAAAAAGAGAATATTCCGGTATTTTAATTAACAGAAGAAAATTAAATAAATAAAACCATCCCTTTTGATTATAATTAGGGCTAGGCGACAAAATATATAATTAGGGCCAAATAGATTCAACCACATGGCAATTATCCTAAATTAAAGATTACAAAAGATGTTGAGTGGTAATGTCAGTTTCTTCTCAACCAAATTTAACAAAGACTTAAGTTATGAATTAATAATAATCTATTTTCCCAAGAAACTTAAGACACACGTATATGGAGTTTACGTACCTGATTACGTGTTCTTGAGGTGTTTCAGGAGTGTCCGACCTCTTTTGGGAAACTTAGACGGCCGATTGGCCATTCCTTGCTTAATATTTTCCCAAAAAGGCTAAGCCAACACAAATCTTGAAAGACCAGAGAAGTTACAACTATGGCCATTATTAACTTTAGTTTTAGTCATTTAGATAACAAAAATTATGCACGTCATAACAAAAAAAAATAAACATATTATTTTTTAGTATGTGAAAAGAAAGGTATGGGACACCTAGCAATATATTACATGTTACAAACGTTTATAATTAATTTCTTGTGAAGATCTATTTTTTAGCAAACGCTATAGTTAATTTCCAAAGAAATTCTAAATTTGTTCTAAAGTTTAGTCATCTGACTGATTAACTCGATGTTCATTATTGCTTAAGGCATTTAAAAGGTCAAGTCCTTTTCTAGTGGTAACTCGTTGAAAATGACACTAATTTTTTTTTTTTGCAACATTTCATAACAAAAATTAGAAATTTTTTCATGATTTTGGCTTTTGTGGTCTTCCATTCCAATATACTCTTCTAAAAAAAGGAAGATGTGAAATGTTTGCATGTCTGTTTTTAGTATCATTATTTTTGTTGCCATCCACTTGATGGAAAGAGCTTTGACACTTCTTTACCTCAATCAATTCATAACTCATAACTACATTAAATTATGTTGTATTCTATCATCTTTTGTTAAAAAAAATTAGTTAAAACTATAAACTTTAAAATTTTACATCCTTGATGTAATTTTCATAAGATATAAAAAAAAAGTGAAAAAATTATAAAGTTACTCGTCTATTTAAAGTAAAGTAAACCTTTCACCAATCTTAATTCACAGAGAATTTAATGTTGATTAAAGCATAGTAAAAGAGTACCACTTCTATTTTGACATCAAGATTGAAGAATACTATTTTTGAATTATATATCTTTCTTAATAAATACAAACGATCCGGTGGGTACAAGGCTACAATCATGTAAAAGAGGTACAAGCCGGTAGTGAATTCCGAGTCGGTCGGTCTTAGAATCGCCTAAATTTACTCTTTTCGTATTCAAAAGATTTTCGTATCTCAAAAAGTAGTGTAAAACTGAATCACTCTTCTTGTCAAAAATATAATAAAAATAAACGTAAGAAAAAGGGAAATGAAATAATAATAATATATAATAAATAAGAAGAATTTATTGATAACCTAACTAACAACTAAAAGATGAAAACACGACACCAACTTCTACCTGCATACTAAAGTTTCGTCTTTAAATGTTGCAGCTGTCTCCTTACATTTCACATCTTCCTTGTTTCTCTCTCTTTCTCTTCCCTCAAACTTAAATTCACATTTTAATAATAACTTCAACAATACTAATCTTTCTTCATTATATATTCTCCTCTGCTCTCAGATCTTCCCTCGCACCATCTTCTCTTGAGATCAAGATTGAGTATTCTTGTCTCAAGAATCGATATTCGAGAGCTCTTATGGACCAAAATGGTCATAAAGACGAAGGGGAAACAGTTTCATGCGGCAACGGTAGCTGCAAGAGCAAGATCGTGCCTGGAGATGATCACGGTGGAGATGAGAGCAGTGGTAGCAAGAGAAGGAAGAAGAGAAAATCGCAACAAAAGACAATGAAACGACGAGAATTAATGTCGTATTGTGAGCTGCCGGACTACATGAAAGATAACGAATACATATTGAATTATTACAGAGCTGATTGGTCCATTAGAGATGCTTTCTTCAGCGTCTTTAGTTTCCACAATGAGTCTCTCAACGTTTGGACGTAAGTACACAAAATTTTACTTTTTAGTTTCAATTTCTTTTCTTTGGTTTTTTGTTTGATTTCTAATAGTTATCTTTTGATTTTGATTTGGACAGACATTTAATTGGTTTTATCTTATTTGTGGCACTAACCGTCGCCAACATTATTCATCACGATGGATTCTTCCCCGTGGTAAGTGTTCTTTAATCACCATGTCTACTTTTTTTAATAATCGCATGTTTAGACCGAATTTCAATTTAATCACTCGAGATCCAGATGCAACCACTATATTAACTTCAAATTAGTCAACTGAATGTGTCAAGTATAAATAGATACCTATTTGGTATTGATAACTACATATCTTAGTTTTCTAATGAATTAATATTGTTCGTTGCTATACCTTGGTTTTGTTATGATGATTTTGAATAGAAAATCGTATATTAGAGATCAATCGAGATATAGATATCATCTTTGAATATATTACATAGACTAATCACTTAGTTTTCTATAGATATCTAGTTAATGTTCTTAGTATTCTAAACAACTTAATAAAATGTAGTTCTTTTAGGATCATATTATTTTATCACATATATTCTTACTATTCTAAACAACTCAAAAAAGTGTATTTCTTAACTAGATTAGAAACCAACTCAAATAATTCTCTAGCAAAAAACTCCCTAGCGGTGTTTGCGGTTAACTTTGTCAGAGTTCTAATTAAAGTGTTTGTTCCCCAAAAAAAAAAGAAAAAAAAAAGAAACCAACTCAAATATATTATTTGACCATATATATATCTTGTACATGTTTCTTAGTATCTCAAACTAGTCAATGAAAATGTAAGCTAATGATGGTATCAATGTTGATGATTGTAGGATGCAAAGAGTCCAGGAAATGTAACAAGATGGCCATTCTTCGTTTTCTTAGGAGGGTCAATGTTCTGCCTACTCGCAAGTAGCATTTGCCACCTCTTCTGTTGCCACTCAAAAGACCTTAATGTCTTCCTTCTCCGCATAGACTATGCCGGTATCACCGCCATGATCATCACTTCCTTCTTCCCACCAATCTTCTACATCTTCCAATGCACTCCTCGGTGGTACTTCATCTACCTCGCAGGCATCACTTCCATGGGAATCTTCACAATCATCACACTTTTCACCCCATCACTTTCCGCTCCCAAGTACAGAGCTTTCCGCGCTTTGCTCTTCGCCTCCATGGGGCTCTTTGGGATTGTCCCAGCTGTCCACGCGCTAGTGGTCAACTGGGGAAACCCGCAAAGGAACGTGACGCTCGTGTACGAGTTGCTGATGGCAGTGTTCTATCTTGTTGGAACAGGGTTTTATGTAGGGAGAGTGCCGGAAAGGCTTAAACCGGGATGGTTTGATCGTGTGGGACATAGTCATCAGATCTTCCATGTGTTCGTTTTGTTGGGTGCTTTGTCTCACTATGCAGCTGCTCTCTTATTCTTGGACTGGCGTGACCACGTTGGTTGTTAAACTATATTTGTAATTCTTTTAAATATAATTAATTTGTTTGTATCGTGGTAAAAAAAAAACTGTAATAACCCATTTGTTTTAAATTGAATTGTAATTCAACTTGTGTTATGTTTGTTGAATATGAGAAGTTAATGGTAAATCAAATATTTACCACTGAATAGTTTCTCTTTTTGTGTATATATGGCTTCAATTGTTTGTTTGCTTTATATCGTGGAAGCATACAGAATTGAAAAGAACATCAAAATTTTTTGTTATGTAAACACAAAAGCAAAAATTGATGGTTGAAATAACCAATGATTTGTTTTATGTAAGAAAAAAATCAATGATGCAAAGGATGGACTTTCATGGTTCTTTCATCTATGTTTATGCGTGTTTTATTAGTGCCAGGATTCACTAGTCATAAGAGAATTAATATGTATATGCACCCAAACTCCTTTCAAATTTCGGAAGCCAAATGTCTTGGTCTTGCCGTGAGACGTCGTGTATATATATTTTCATTGTTTTTGTGGTTAATGAGTAAAATAAAGAATCGAACACACATCACCGTAGCATATAAGGTTGATGTGTGAATCTTAGCGTAAGTGAAACAGCTCTTCTAATTAACCCAATTTGATGTTATTGTTAAATTATTCTCAACAGTGACAAATTTACCAAACATGTCAGCTAAAGCTTAAATTTTATATGTCGGTTATGCTTAACCAGGGGCGGAGGGAGAGAAGATTCATAGGGGTCAATTGACCCCGGTGAAATTTTTAAAAATAGTTGAATTTTTATATAAAAAAAATTATTGACCCCAATCCAATAAAAATATTGACCCCTATAAAAAAAAATTATGTTACAAACCCAATAATTACACTGTACTTATAGATAATATTAGCCTAATAAAATTTATTTTAAGTAAATCTACTACAATTAAACCTATTAATATAAACTAATATAATATTTTAACATTTATTTTGAGCTGATCTAAAAACGTTTTACCTTCTTCTTCTTTGTTTTTTGTGTTTTTAATCAATCTTTGATCGTGTGACGGTGGAAACAAGAAAACATCTTTCACATCTTTTAGTATATCGACTTATAAAGTTACCTTTTATGCATCTTTTGGAAAAAAATAAAAATAAATTTGACCCCGATGAATAGATTTTCTGGCTCCGCCACTGTGCTTAACCAACCCAAATTTGAATTGCCTGCCTCAGACCGGTTATATCAGTATGGGGAGAGAACCGGTATGATAAGGGATACATAAGTTTTTCGTTTTTCTTCTTCCAACCAAATCCAAAATTGACCCTAAAATTAAGCATGCCATGATAGCTAGCTAGTAATGATCGACGGTGCCAAACCCCGAACGATATGAAGATTTACTTCTGATTCGGTAAGCACTTTACAAAGCAATAAATACAAAAATTAATTTTATTTGCTTCTCAATTACTCTATTAGTCTTCGGTTTCCTTCCCTAATATTTATTTGTGTCCATTTATGCTTTAATTTTTTACCTTTCTAGTGGTTTTAATTTTAGGGTCAACTTTGTATAAATGGACAAAAACTCTTGTCTTCCTCTAATACATAAGTATATGCCCCAAATGTGTCACTGCCCAAGAAACTAGAAAAAAAAATATATGAAAAAACCAAATTTTGTTAATATGAAATTCTCTCTGGCTCCAACTCTTGTTCTTCTTCTTGTTCTTCTCCTCTTTTATCAACATCACTCATCTCCAAACCTAAACTCAAACGCTCTCTCTTCTTTCGTCGACGCTAAATCTCTTGCCCCATCTCCTTCACCGTCCATGTCCATGGAGTTTAGTATCGCCTCATCAAACCTTTCACTAATTTCGAGTCCTCATGAAAATGTATGTTCTTAACTAATCTACGTGATCTTATTCAATTAGGCTTGGATTTGTTTTGACTTTTGAACATATGTAATTTGTTGTGATAAGAAAGAAAAGAAGAGAAACAGAATCGAGGAAGGTTTAGCAAAATCGAGAGCTGCCATACGTGAAGCCGTGAGGCTGAAGAAGTTTGCATCGGACAAGGAAGAAACTTTTGTTCCTCGAGGAGCTGTTTACAGAAACGCTTTTGCATTTCATCAGTAAGTTTCTGTTTCCGTTTCTCCTTTTTTTGTCTATCAAATTTTCATTAAAATTTACTTTCCATACTAGGAAGTAAATGTTATACTAAGATTTTATTGAGATTCAAAAAAATTATGAAAATTATTAAGCATACAACTAAATCACCCATTGACTGAAAAAAGATTCCAAGTGTGGAGGTTTTGGACGAAAAGAGCCAACTTTGTGCTACATTTTGTGCTAAAGATATGACAATTTTCATTTAGTAACCCATAATTTTCTCCCTAAATCAATCATTTGGATTTCAAAAAAGATTGATGTCAAAAAAGATAAATTCAAATTTTACCTCAAAAGTGTAAACCGACAGTAATTTGCAATCAAAATACATTTATTGTTTTTGAAATCCTTTTCCTTACGTAATTAAAATATAAAAAATACGTATAAAATAGATTTTCTTGAATTATTTACTAGTTTGCTTTGGGAAACGAAGCGATTGGGTATAATTCTAATTCTTCCTCGTTAAACTCGAGATTGAACTATTTTAGTTGCGTAAGTATTCATACTACTCTTATTATTTTTTTAACTTCAATAATGCATTGTTTTTCTTATATTACACAAACAATCGTGTGCATTAGTAAAATACCAGAATAAAAATTTCTCCCAAATCTGTATGCAAATTGTACCTCTATAAGGAACTGCGTAAACTTTAAAATATTTATAAAAATATGTAAAATTTATTTAATTGATTATAGTCAACGTGTCTGAAATACTATGCACAATGGTATGCGGGTAAAGAGAAACGTAGCGCCTACTTAAAGCCTGCTTTGGTAATTGTTATTGTAGTCACAGCTCTCTCTTCTCTTCGAGTAAGAAATTACCTGTACTACTTTTTATTGACTTCTAAATAGGTCGTGCAAACATATAATTGCTAGTCCCAATTATTTTATTAAAAGAGAATTAAATAAATTTAATTACTAAATACATAGTAAGAAATTACCTAACCGTAGTCTTGAGATTATTTCCAAAAGGTCACATACGCTTATCGTAAAAATCCAATAATGCCATACCTTGGGTTTTTGTATTTGCTAAGTAGTACTCACTTTACAGACTTCTTAGCAGAAGTATCTAAAATGTAAGAATATATTCTAAAATGATACTAGTGATTATCACTTAAATAGTTATCAAAACTTATCTATCACAAATTCATATACAAACTTTTAATAACGTAGGAACTAGTGTACTTCACTCTGTTATGAATTCTGATCAAATACTAATCCAAAGAAGGTACTGTTTACTTAAGAAGAAGATTTATTTATTTTCAAAGAACAATTTTAACCCAAGCCAACAATTCTTATGAAATTGAGCAGAAGCCATATAGAGATGGAGAAGAAATTCAAAGTGTGGGTGTACAGAGAAGGAGACACACCGTTAGTTCACATGGGTCCAGTGAACAACATATACAGCATTGAAGGCCAATTCATGGACGAGATCGAGACAGGGATGAGCCCGTTCGCGGCTAGCCACCCCGATGAGGCTCATGCCTTTCTCCTACCTGTCAGCATCGCCAACGTCGTTCATTACCTATACAGGCCGCTCGTGACCTACTCGAGGGAACAACTTCACAATGTTTTTCTTGACTACGTCAATGTTGTGGCTCACAAGTATCCTTATTGGAACAGAAGCCTTGGAGCCGACCATTTCTTTGTTTCTTGCCATGATTGGGTTTGTGTTCTTTCTGGAACCAGACTTGTTTTTGTGATGTTGATACTGAAATGTAACATTTTTAAGACGTCTTGCAGGCACCAGACGTTTCAGGATCAAACCCGGAGATGATGAAAAACCTGATAAGAGTTCTCTGCAACGCCAACACATCGGAAGGTTTCATGCCCCAACGAGACGTTTCAATCCCGGAGATCAACATCCCCAGAGGCCAACTGGGACCACCTCGATTATCCCGCGCTTCTGGCCATGACCGACCCATCCTTGCTTTCTTCTCAGGGGGCTCACACGGTTATATCCGCAAAATTCTACTACAGCATTGGAAAGACAAAGATGAGGAGGTCCAAGTCCACGAGTACTTAGCCAAGAACAAAGACTACTTCAAACTCATGGCTACGGCAAGGTTCTGTCTCTGTCCCAGTGGCTATGAAGTGGCTAGCCCTCGAGTCGTTGCAGCCATTAACTTAGGTTGCGTCCCTGTCATCATCTCTGATCACTATGCCTTGCCCTTCTCAGACGTTCTTGATTGGACTAAGTTCACCATTCATGTTCCCTCTAAAAAGATCCCTGAGATCAAAACTATACTAAAGAGCATATCCTGGAGACGCTACAAGGTGTTGCAGAGAAGGGTTTTGCAGGTCCAGAGACATTTCGTGATCAACAGACCGTCGCAACCATTTGATATGCTTCGAATGCTTCTTCACTCTGTTTGGTTGAGAAGACTAAACCTGAGGTTGCCTTTGTGATCCTATATACTCTGTTTTTTAAGGAATAAATATTGGTATAGAACAAGAACGTGAACAGTTGTATAACATTGAAAGTAGCTACAATGGTAACCAAAGGTTTACATGTAATAAAGACTATTTATAACAGTTTTGAGACTGTTTTTGTTTAATGAATTGTATGAATCACTCTTCATAACTCAACTTCGATCAGATGTAATCGTTTGGTCTCTACAGGCATTTTTTCCAACTCAAAGGTGACCAATCCAGAGGAGGAATCGTACTGGAATGGGATCTCATTTGACTCAACAACGCATCTCTTCGGCTTCACAGAAGAGTAAGATCCGAATTTCCCACATCCTTTAACTTCCATTACCACTTTCATCTTCTCGGCTTCATATGTAAGTCCTTCGATAGCTCCTCCCGAATTGTACATGTTTACAAGACCGATCGGAGCAAATGAGATACCATCAGTAGCCAGATGCTTAATGGGGCTCATAGTGAAGATCTCGTGCTCACGGATTTTGAGTGAGATTGGAAGAGACACATTGTATGGCATAACAATAAGTTCGCCTCTGCTCTGGGAGTAAACAGCACAGTCTCCATTCCAGGTCGGTGGATCAGTAGAGGCCTCGGATATCAAATGTACATCACGACCACGAATGGAGCCAGTGAGGCTATCAGTTTTTGTCTGGTGAAAGATGTTTTTTCTTTCTGTGCTGCTCCAAGCTGCTCCTTGGCAGTTATACACGCCAAGAACTCCAGTGTACTTGTTCATGTTCCATATCTTTAGCAAGCTGAAACCAAAACAACGCACAATAAGAAAATGAGCAATCAAAAATATGAAGACTTGTCTTGATAAGCCAAATTTGCTTACCTGACACCATCACGGGCAGGATCTGCGAACAAACAATCGTGAGTTGGTCTACCAGGCAATCGAGCACGAAGAATCGATCCATCAGGCAACACAAGCTTCCTTAGAAGCTCAAAATTGTGCTTTCCAGGAGCATCGCTAATCATCAAGAACAGAAACATGTAACAATGTAAGTTTGCAATCAATAGGCAAGTTCAAGTGGAGATTAGTAGTTGAGGATCATACCTGACGTAGAGCGGTCCACCACTGATGGCCCTCGCCGAGGCATGGTACTCTGCAGCAGGGTGCACGGAATGGAACATATCCCAGTCAGGCTGCATAAACTCTCCCAAGAACACACTGTTATAAGCAACCGAGGCTATATGGATGGTGTGAGACACCGGATCGCGTGGGTAGAAATCATCTGATGCTCTAATCACAGCTGCTTGCTTCGAGCAGTAAAGAGCATCCGTATTGTGGCTCATACAAGCAATGCAGCCATTGTCAGGGAAGTTCTTTGCAACAGAGGAGTCAAGAGCTTGATGAAACTGACGAGTTAACTCAACCCGACCGCCTAAACCACCACCCAAAGTCTCCAATATACACTGCACATCCACTTTCACACCGTCCACACCAGCATCAGCCAAGTAACTATGAAGCTCATTGTAGAACTTATACACTTTCTTGGGGCTAACCAAACCCAACCCTTGCAGCGCCATTATATCCGTCTTCCACGTTGGATCGTTCTCCACCACACCCTTTGACATATTAGGATACTTCATCACAGATCCGTATTCTCCCCCGGGTCGAACACCGCCCCAATAACCCGTTATCGCGTGCCACACGTAAACGTATTTCAAACCGTGTTTCTCCTTAGCAATCTTGACAATGTTTTTAATCCCAACGTTTGGATCATCCTTCTTCTTAAACTTTTCATTCTCCTTAATCCCCGTCAATCGAGAAACCGCCTGCTCTTTCTTCTCATCTCCGGTCTCCACTGTGTCATCCTTCTCAACGGATTGCCAACCGTCGTCGATAATGACAAACTTCGGCGGCGTACCACCGGCGGAGAGAGACTCAAGACCAGCTTCGACGCCTTCTTGAGTCACTTCTTGATAAAACGCGTCCCAAGTACACCACCCGAAATAGTCAACGATCCCTGGAAGCTTCTTTTCGTGACGTTGACGGAAACTATTCAGATGCAACTTAACGGTACGAATAGCGTCCGTTATCGTCTGAAACGGATCTGTACCGGCGTGAATATAAAGAGAGTGAGTAAACGATGACCGTTTAGTGTCGACGTCACCACTCTCCAAACAGAGCTCAACCTCATCGTTAACGTTTCCTTGGAGACACGAACGGAAAGATCCTTCGATTAACGGCAAGAAAACGGTGTAAACTTTCTGGTTAGCTCCGTCAGGTTCAAGGTGGGACCCATCGTTGCTCTCGACCAATAAGAACTGCGTCTCGTAGGGAATATCCCGGCCCATCTCGCCCATTCTCTGGGCCATCCACCAAAGCTTAAACCGGAAACAAGACATAAACCGGGAATTACGAAGCGTACCGATCGGTACAACGTGTTTACTCTCTTCCTTGTTGAATACAGCTCCGACGAAGACTCCTTCGACCGGTCCAGCCTCCGATGCTGACGTTGTGATGACATTATCTGATAAACCGGTTAAAATCGTCCGGTTCTTGATGATTAGATTCCCATCGGAAACTCGAACCGCCGGTTTAATCGTCATATCTTCTTCTTCTTCGTTTTCTCTGTATCTCCTCTTAAACGGCGAGGCTGCTTCGCTTCTCTGTAAAAAAAATCCCAAATTTAAGAGTGTTATCAAAGATCCAGAGTTTTGAGATGACGTCAGATTATGGGTTTTAAACAATCTCTACCAAATTGTAATCAAATAAACAGATCCAAAGAAACATTACCTTATATGAACAAAATTGAAATCCTCGAGTAGACGAACAATGCCTGCGATTTCCAAGATATGGAGAAAAAAACAAAAAACTTTGTTAGACGCAAAATCTGGGATTAGAGAATGAGTCAATGAAGAGAGATGGTGATTAAGATGCGATACCAGAAGGCGAAGAAGACGAGCGAATACGAAGCTGTTGTTGTGAAAGGAGAAAATGAGCTTGAGGTTTGGATTTGAATGAAAGAGAAGATGAGGAGAATCGATGAAATGTGAAAGAGTGAATCAGAGGATGTACGCTTTTTATACGATGGATTCCATTGTAGCAACTCTGTGACGCCATTTTTATTATTCTCTCTCTCTCTTTGGCTTTCCTCGTTTGGTGAGTTTTTTACAAATTTGTAGGAGTCTTTAACTCTTTTATCCAATTCCAAGGTGTTTCTAAATTCAGTTGATATTAAATTATTAATTAAATACTTTCTTATTTTGTTTATTTTTTCTTATAAACGTTAAAAAAAAAAAAAAAACTTACACGTCTTCCGTTTCTTGTGATTGTTTCTTTCGTATTGTGAAAGACTGCAAGTAATCTCTCAGACATTAATTGATTTATTTTTCTTTGGTGTATGTATATATAATTATCAAATTATGCGAAAATATTGAGGTGGTTATCGAATTTTCACGTCAAATATTCGCATATGGTCAAAACGAATTCGAGAAACCCAAACTTTTTTTTTTGTGAGATAAAAATTACAGTTGACCGTTGAAAAGTTTTAAAAAGGAGGATGAGGTTGCCACGTAGGATAAATGCTGTAACACATTAGGATATTTAAAGATATTTTGTTTTTTAAGGATTAAAAGATTTTTTCCACGACCGTATTACGTGTCATCGTGTCACCGGAGACCTTATCACGAGATTAAATTGTTTTCGTCAACATAAATCTCAAAATAGAAGTTTTCTTGCAACTTGTGAGAAAAATGACTGTTTCTATTTCTTTAATGGATTTAGGGTCCTATTTGTAAAACTTTCCTGTTGCATGATTTTTCTTCTCAACTTTTAATATTTCCTCTTCTCATTGTTATAAATGGGATTGGCATCTATAAATGTATATAGTTATAATTATCTATGTCAATGTCGTCCAGAGTAGTAAGTATTGGTTTTATGTTCTGCTGTAACTTTTTACCTAATGTATTTTTTTTTCTATGACAATTTTCAATTTTGTTACAAGAACATGAAAAAAGAAGAAATGTATCAAAAATTAAGAATAGAATTTGAATAGAAATTGTTTTATTTAATAGAAGTATATTTTAAAGGAATGAAACAGATCATCACAAATGACACAAGTAGAGAGACTGACATCGACTTCGGCAATATGTGAAAATTGTAAAATCAAATGGGTGCAATCGACAGAAAGTTCATAGACCAAACCAAGTGGCTACATTATCTTCGCAGATCAACTTGCTTCAACAGATATATTAAGCAATGTGCGGCTGCATGGCCCACAACTCCCCATGATCTCATTTTATTAAAAATAAATCTTAAAAAGAGAGAGAGTACTACACGAAAACAAATAATTTGATGTTTCTTTTTCTTTTATTTTCTGTTGTTTCTTTGTTTTCATTGTTATACTAATAATAACAGAAAACGAAATATTCGGGCGATGAATGATTCGCTTGCAGCTAGTGATTTGGTTTGTTAAGCGGCGATCAAAGATGAATGATTTGTGTTATTGATCATTGACCTAATAGGTCTCTATTTATACAAGATACAAAGATACGATCATATCCAAAGAAAAGGAAATCTAACATATGTGCCTATTGACGTGGCTATCACGTTTAGCCTTAATATGGTTCAGAAAGTGATTGGGAAAGCAAATCAACTTGTATTTTTTTTTGGAGAGAACAAAAAAAGTTAGAAAGTTGTCCAATTGGACCCAATGGGTTTATCCATCCATTATACATTAGTTGGCGGATAAGGGTTTGTCAGATATTATTTAATGTATATCATCATACATTATTTTATTTTTTTTGTTAAAACTGTATTTTTTTTTAAATGATTCATCATCAATCAGTCGTCGTTGGAGGTTAATAGGTAGTCTACAATTTAAATTTCTCAATCCTCCACACGTCTCATGCCTTGTATATCATAATTAGCAACAATGTTCTTGACGGTGAATTTTCTATGTCACCATCAATTTATTGATTAATTTATTTATGATATCTGCATGGGGTTTCCCTCAAGCAAGATTAAATTGCAGAATAATGGATGAAGAGAAATGATTAGAAAGTTGTCTTTGTACATGGTGCTAGGTTCCAATCCTAGCTGATGGAGTTTCTCTTTATTTTAATTTTTAACTAAAAGGATTTATGGGTCAACAATGGATGATGGCCCATATATCGTTTAATATTAGTCAGAACCCAATAACCTACATAAACACCATTCTCTTTAGCCTTGAAAGACGAGCGGTCCAGGCCGATTTCTGCACTTTTTAGATTTTAGTTTGTTTTTTACATTGTGAATACAAGCATTTGAAGGGGAAAGATATAAAGTGCAATCACAATTTTTAGAACCATAACGTCTATGTATCAATGAAGACATCAATAACATTCTTACCTTTACCTTTTATTTTACTCCAAAGTATTTTAGAGAACAATTATAACTTATTAAAATAAAAAGTTTCTTAAAATTCACATATAGCTAAACTCGGAATAATTAGTTTCATTTCACACACATGCAAATAGTTCCAAACGTTTAAACACAACACAAGTACACAACCAATACATAGAGGTCATAAGCAAACAACACACATATAGCTTAAGTAAAAGTCGGATAGAGAGTATATATATAGCTCGAGATTAGGACATGCAGATTCATAAGACAAACTAAATACCACGATATAGATAGGAGTTGAGGATGATGAGATTATAAATCTCGATGATCAATCGATGACCAAAGACATAATCTTTTCCTGAAGATTTGGCTGAATCGGCTGCACTCTATATCCAAATTGCCCATCATGATCTCTCATCATCAGTCCTCTTGCGTTGCTTGCTATAGCCATCTCCTGTTGTTGCTGCATATTCCAAACCATATATCCATATAATATCTCAAAACACAAACATACTAATAGTTTCAAACCAAACCATAAGGAAAAGGATTGTATTAATGTATATTTATAAATGTATGAAGATTATTATTAACTTAATATATATACCAGCTGGAAAGTGAGTTGCCGATGCTCCTCCATAATCATCTTGTCCTGATAAAACAAAAATGATGCAACCATTAATATAAATTTCAATCCGAAAGCTAATTAAGTAGTAGAGTACTATAAGATTAGTTATATGCTCACATTTCTCCTCTTTGAGTTGAGCAACTCTATCTGTATCAAGCAGACCAAATAAGAAGTTAAATGTATGAATGTATTTGTATATACATATATATGAATGTATGTAGAAATGTATACATACCTGGTGGTCTCGGACTTTGTCGAGGCCGTGCTCAATGGCGTGCTCGACAGCCATCAGGTTCTTCAAGTTGAGAGACTGTATATCTTCCCCCTTCAAGTGCCTGTATTCACAATTCCCATGAATTTCTCAATTTATGCTGATATTTCAACATTATTTTAATCAAATGTTATATATATATATATATATATATATACATGTGGAAAGATATGGCAATGAAGGGTGAAGAATGATGACCTGAGCTCCAGTTGTAAGCTATCATTTTCTTTCTTGATCCTATCAATCTCATTGCTCAGGTTCTGGAGACCAATATTTTTCAGCATATGTATTAGATGAGCTATAATGGTTTTAAGAATTTAGATCAAACAAAAAAACTACTTATTCTATACAAACTAAACATAAATATATACAAAGAAACAATCCATGACAAGTCTCTCTATGTTCATGTTTCATTCAGAACATATATAACACATACACACATATCTATATATCTTGATGATATTCACATATGTATAAAAAGTATACACAGATATACATGCACAAATTCTACTAGGCAGTGACTTAAATGGTATAAAAGCCTCTGTATGCTTTTTACTCTATAAAGATATATCTCAATTGTGAGAACTAAACCTATAATTGTCAGAGCTAATTAATAATACATACAATATTTGCATTAAAATTTAATTTAAAAACGATACTCAAAACTCAAAAAGTATTTTTCAAGATTTCAATTAGTTTTGAAAGCCACAAATGTAAAATCAGTATACTGTTCAGACATTCTCATTAATTAATATCACATCCCAGATTTTTCTCTCAATAATCCCATAACCTATGGATCTAAATCGCTTACGCTTTTGTCTTGATGGTTTCAAAACACAGTTGGTGAATACATGTTTAGATTTACTCTAGAACACATAAAAGATCTTACAAATGAAGCACGAAATTAAAACAAAAGAAAAGAATAACTTCCATGTTTTGTGGCTCCATGTCTTATTGAGTACAAGAAAATCAATAAAGACGCTTGTAAGGCTACATACACAAAGAAACCTTTGTAGATCTGCATCTAGGGTTCGAGGTTTTTCTCTTTGACATGTTTTAGGAAAAGAAAATTAAATAACCCATTTCATGATATATCTAGCTAAGAATATTTGTTTTTGAGACAAAACACTATAGTAGATCTGCATCTAGGGTTAAAGATTCAAGGGTCTTTTGACATTTTTTTGGCAAAGAAATTGAATACTTATTTCATGATTTTGGCCATGGAATATTTTTGAGACAAAGAAACTTTAGATTATATAAAAAAAAAAGAGGGAGAAAACGAGAGAGTACCTCATGCTTAGCATCCCATAGTTTCTTGCCAGATAACTTCTGGTATTGGTCCAACATAGCACCAAGATCCATGGAAGGACAACAATAATCGACCATCTTACCATTACTTGCAAAGATTATGAGAGCAACTTTTGCATCACAAAGAACTGTGATCTCTTTAGCCTTCTTCACCAACCCATTCCTCCTCTTCGAGAACGTCACCACTCTGTTGTTTGCGTTCTCTATCCTCTTTATCTCGATCTTCCCTCTACCCATCTTTCTCTCTCTATCTCTTTCTAAAATCTAGGGTTTGCTGTGAAATTGTCAAGATGTGGAGGAGAGGATATGTGGTTTATATGAAGAACAAGAAGAGGAGCATTGGTTTTAAAGCAACATTGATGAGAGAGAGAGAGAAAAATGTTTTGATTAATCTTGAGGTGAAGAGAGACTTTGACAGTTTGGGATTGAAAACAAAGCTACTTTCTTGATGGCACAGTCATGGAAGGCTTGCTTTTGCTTCTCTTATTACACATATATAGTCATAGCCAACTCTATTTTCTCTCCTTTTTTTACACTACCAAAAAGATAAAAACTTGAAGTATAACGTAATAAAATTAAAGTTAAAACAAACTTAGTTATTTTGCTTAATGAACACTCTTTGCATGTGATTGATGTCTATTTGCTTTCATTTGATTTGGTCATTTCAGTCTCTCTCTTGATAGGTTAAAGTGTCGTTTAATTAACCTCTGGTCTCTTACGTACTATGTTTTCTTCAGTGAACTGTAGATATAATTGAAAAAAATAATATGTATCTGGAAAGATCAAATTTTCAGATGAAATGTGATCAAACTTTACCTTACTCGTGTATGTATATATAATTAGATTTGAGAGTTCTAACACCATAATTTTCTTACCGACGACACCATCAGTTAATTAGTTTGAGACACTATATCTTATATATTATATAAAAACGTGAAATTGTCAAAAAAAATCTAGACTTTAACAATCATCAACGATTGGTGACATTGTGACATTAATAATTTTGTTAATAATAAAATAAACTGTGAGTAAAAACAGGAGATGGAAACAACACACTTTGAAATTTTTGGAGTTCCAGAAAACAAAATATAAAATAAAGATTTTGATTTGTAGACAAATATTTCCCATTTTATCTATCTAGAAAATCAACCCTTAAACCAAATGAAACTTCGAGTTTTGCAACTTTGTAGATTTAAAACCAAATATCTCGGTAAATTTGATAACAATTTTTATTCTTTACAGGTTCTTACTTTGGTAAAGCCAAGACTTGCTATTTCAAGAACTCTATGTCATATATAGGTCTTATCGAATATCGTAGCTACACTATAAAAATCAAACATATTAAATTATTGAAAGTTCAAGATATCTCATTGACAAAAGAAGTAAATGAAATAAAGTTAAATCCAGATTGCTTAGAAAGAAAAAAAAAAAAAAAAAGGAGCAGTGTAATTACCAAAGACTTTCGTATAACCATTGGATCATGCTTATACTATTATGGGGAAAATGTCATTGGTTGTTGAAAACAAAAACAAGTTTATGGTTTTCTTGATTCACGTCAATCATACACGTGTCAAGACGTCTGTGGTCTCATGTTGTACATAGTACGGACATATTTTTTGGCCTTTTCTCGAATATTAACTATAAAGCCATAGATTAGAAATCTCCACAAATAAATTGTGAATTCAGGTGACAAACTTGATCAAGAAAATGAAAGTTGTCCATGAAATATGGTAATATATAGTAGTAATAAGTAATCTGAATGATGTTGAAAACGACTCTTTCTTTTGCAACCGAATAATCATATATCGATACTCATACTAATCACAAGTATAAGACGTTTATAATGACTTGAAAACAAGTCCTTATTTTCACAAAGAGTCAAATACATGACTATAGAAATAAGGAGAGTAAGGTAAAACAAACACATATTGATTAACTAAGTTTCGAGTGTGACTCAAAAGAGAGCAACAACAGCAGAAACAAAAGCGACCAGAACAGTAGCACCACCTAACGAGGAAGCGGCATTTCCAGCTGGAGTAGTGGTTCCGCTAGAACCTGAAGGTGTTGTGGTCCCGCCAGCAGTGGGGGGAGTGGTTCCTCCAGCACTTGGGGTTGACCCAGGTGCTGGGGTAGCACCACCACCAGCACCTGGAGTAGCACCTCCACTTGCACCAGCACCAACTACATTGATGGAGAGTTTTTGACCAAAACGGCAATGGTCACCGACGGTGCAGATAAAGTATTGTGGTCCAGTGGTGTTTAGCATAATTTTGACCGGAGGAACCGTCATGTGGCTGATGGGTTTCTCTTTCTCGCAGTTTTCAAATGCATCTTGTGTTACAACTGCCACATCATGCCTCCCAGCAGCGAAATCAAATTCTGTAATAAGAATATCAAAAAGTTATAAATATCATTAGATAACGTTTGATTTCGCATGACATGTGAACAAAATACATCAGTCGGTGAAACTCTATTAATCTTTTTTTACCTCAAATATGTTCAACAAAATATAGAAACAAAGACAGAACAACACCTACATGCATGATCCATGAACGATCCCATAATATCGACTGTTATAAAAACAAAGACATATAAAACTCACCGAGCTCGTCGCCTACACGGAAAGTTTTACCGGTAGCCCAAGTAGTATAGAACTCGGGGTCCATAGGTCTCGTCCATTCGGTATCATCACCAACATCATAGTCCTCCGCGAAGACAACAACCACAGCGAAAACCAAAACCATAAAGGTAACCGTTTTGAAAACTCCGGCCATATTGTTATGTGTTGAAGCACTCAGGTCACCCCCTTTTCTTTTCTTGGTCGAGAACTATATATGTCGTCTCTTAAAAGATAGTAAAAGACCCTTATGATTTTTGTGTTTGTTGTGGTTTCAAAAGTCTTGCAAGAGAGACTTATATTTATAGGACAATTAAAGAGAGGCTCTCAAGGAGTCATACGCAAGATACGGGAAGACGCGTTACGTGGTTTGTCGTTGAACATACCCACATTTGGATATTATCACTTGTGGTCAATTTTATCTGCTAAGTTGTTTTTTTTGTCCAACAATTGTTATTTTTAGCGCGTAAAAAACTAAAAACATTGTCGGTTCGTAAATTTAGATCAAGTAAAAAAAAAACGTGACTAAATATAACAACCTAATAATACCCAACCGATATAAAGGCATCTAAGAATAGTAGGATACTAATGTTAGAAAGAAACAAAGTGTTAAAAGTCGATGGATATGGATGAAATATTAGGTGTTTATAGCATTTACAGTGTTTGTTTATGGATAAGTCGTTAATTGTTTATAGCAATATCTAGGCTCGATCGTCAAAGAACGATCCATCTTTCTTTGCATGGGTCCGTTGTACCAACTCAGGTCGTACTCAAGAAAAATCAACCAAACAAATATATACACTTTTACACGTAAACGAATGCGGTCATAAACCGAAACCAAAAGCGGTCAAACTCACTTCAGTTTTGTTTAGAGTTTGGATAGTTCACGAAAGACCAATCAGGGACTCAAGTGATTGGTCCGATTCTAAACCGAAATATCCATCCCTTAAAAAGGGACCTGTCAATGATTGGTTATTTCTGCTTCAAGAGCAAAACCAAGACTAACCAAATAAACAGTGTCAAGAACCTTCTTGCTCTCGACAAGAATCAGTGTCTGAAACTTGTTTACTTGGACAGGCTCTTACATTATGTCCCATTTTCTTGCAGAACCCACAAGCATACCTTCTTTTACCAACACCATCTTCCCTGGAATCTCTACCAGGGTCACTAGGTTTCACTCCGGTCGGCTTCAGGCATGTTCTGCTGTTGTGACCGCTCTCACCGCATATTCCACATTTATGATACCTTGTGGAAATGCCTTTAGTGACCATTGATTTTGACTTAGGACAAGTTCTTCGGTTATGGCCTTTCCCGCCGCAACCCCGACATCTGAATCTTCTGTCCGCATTAGTGCCTAGTTCTGGACAATAATGGCGTCTATGGCCTTCCTGTCCACAGTTCTTACAGTAAAATTTAATCCCTGAACCAATGAGAGAAAACAAATGATTCTTTTACCATTTCATAGTTTGCACAAGAACTGTCACCACAAAAGGAAATCAAATCGAGACCTACATTTCTACACTCTGAAACAACATTATATTTCAACTTTAAGTGACAAGCCTCAACCTAATTCATCTCAGTGATCTTACATTATTGGAGAATGTAAACAGAGAGAGCTCCAGAAACAAAAGATTAATAAATTGAGCTAAACTCTGAATTTCTACCAAGAAACTGAGATTTACCTTTCATGGATAGGCTTCTCTGTTCACGGTTTTCAGGGTTACTGAAGAAAGCTTTCATAGATTCGGATGCATGCTTTCTAGCAGCTGGTGTTCCTTTAGCTTTCTAGAACACAATAACACTAAGCAGATTCAAGGAAAAAAACAAAAGTTGTTCCATGTTAATTTAGTATATAAATTAAAATGGAGTTGATTACAGACCTTAATTGCAGCTACCCTTTGAGCATGAAGCACGGGATCACGATGTATAATCTTCATTCGTTTACTAAAAAGTCCAGTTTTGGCATTGAGACTCTATAAAAACCATAGTTTGGACTGAATTTAACAATAATCCATGGAGAGAATATATGAATGAAACTCACTTTTAGAATGAAACTAACTTTTAGAGATCGGCTGATCTTTTGTCCAACTTCAGGAGTCGGTGACTGGTAAATCCGCTTCGATTTCCTCCTTTTACTGAACTTTATCTCTAAATTATCAACCTCATCATCCTCCTTTACTCTAAATGGAGAACTGTGGCAGATAAAAATGAGGTTTATTAGTCAAACAATAAACAGAATTGAGATGTCAACTCTTGAATAACACTACCTGGATCTAGCTTTCTCCCAAGGTCGTTCATCGATTGATTCTTCCCATATGACACAATCCCCCAAACATCTGAGACAAGTCATTATGCCCTACACAAAATTTAAGCAAAGTCCTATAACAAGGAAAGACTTTTGTTACTCAAAAGTTTGAAGTCAATTTAATACTTTAAGTACCTTTCCTTTGCATTGAGGGCAGTCCAATCGCGACCTCTCGATTCCGCAATTTGAGCATGAAGTATAACCTCTTCCTCTACAAGTTGGACATGGAAGCTCTCGAATGTACTGACCGTTAGGACCAAACCATGACCTTGGTTCGCGCGAATCACCAGATATGATCCTGAATAAACCATCACCAAAAGCACATTTTGAAGCTCAACCAAATTGTGGATACATGTATCTACCAACTTGGCCAAGTTACATTTTTTTTTCGTCTAATGATTTCATTGATAATAATAATATACGATTTGAGTTATACCGACTTAACGAGTAACTAACAGAATATGTATTCCTAATTTTTAGGATTTTCCTTTTATTTTTAGGAAATTATTAAGAGTTTTTCTTTCTTTTTCCTTTTTTGTTGAAAGAGTTTCCACTTCTTTATTTCCTATTCCTAGAGTGCTTTGCTTTTACGTTTTAGTATAAATAAGATAGGGTCTCTATTATGAGACTCATACAAGCTAGAGAGAGCTTTGGAGGTTTATAAGTTTGGGTTTCTTTGAGTCTTGCAATAAAGAGAGCTTTTTTTGGGGGTTTTGTGTGATCGTGATTCTTAACTACCTGCAAATAAGAACCTAAGGAATGACTACCAGAAGGATTGAGTCACGTTTGGACGCGATAGAAAAGAACCAAGAGACCTTCCATGAGGAATTGATTAGGTTTTATAAGAGACAGAAAGAGATCCAGAATGCTATTTTGGAGTTAACAGGGATGGTTTCGGCTTCACAATTGTCGCATCCTAAACAACAATCTGCAACAGTCCTACAGGGGAACATAGAGATGCCAAGTTTTGATGGAGACGATCTCTTCAAGTGGCTAGAAATCGTTGAACAGTACTTTACTTTGCAACTCACACCAGAATTTCGGAAGGTAGACATTGCATTCATGAGTATGGAAGGTGATGCTCTACACTGGTTACAATGTCTGCGAAAAGAGAACCCGGCTTTAACGTGGGCTCAACTAAAAACTGAGCTTATAGAAGAATTTGGAGGAGGAGATATTACGGCCTCTCCTGGTGAACAATTGGCATCACTTCGACAAACAGGATCCGTAGACGAGTACGCAAATGAATTCCGTGCTCGGGCAGCTCAAATCGATAAGGACCAACTACTACAAGGCATGTTTCTTAATGGACTTAAAGAAGAAATCCGTGTAAAGTTTCGGCCAAACGATGCTGAAGGACCGGAAGTTGCTATACGCACCGCAAAAGCAATCGAGAGAGAGTTAAATTTTAACAACCGAAAGGGTAGACGCGAATATTCGCACAAAGAATCTCTCGACATGAAAACCGTAGGCCTCTGTTGTCGCTGCCATCAACCGTACTCCCTTTTAGATGACTGCTGAGGATAAGGCAATCATCGATGGAGAGAAACATGCTATGTAAGAAGACCACTGGAGTCCAGCCTTGAGGACAAGACTTTAGTTTTTAGCAGACTTGCGAATGTTATGTAATTCTTATTTATTTAGGATTTCTATTTCTTGAATTTATGAAATTGTTGTGTTCAGAACTTCCACTTTTCTATTTTTAGGATTCCTTATATATCCATGCTTGGCTTTTACGTTTTAGTTAAAACAATGATGGTGTCTCATTTAAGAAACTCATCCAGGCTTAGAGAGAGTTTTAGAGGTTTATTGATTGATCCCTCGGAATCAAATTGGTTCACTTGAATGCTTTAATAGGATCCTAGCTCAAAGCAAACAAATGGGTTGCAGGCAACTGATAAAATTATCATACTCTTGCTTTAAAAAGAATGAGAAAACTAGTGATTGTTTTCATTAAGAAGCCTCATAGTTCTTTTGAGTTTAGAGCCGTTTCATGAAATTGATCGTATTAACAGACCTATGAGTCAACAGAAGAGTGAGTTCACTATAAAGAGGTCTGACCTGGGCTTGAAATCAACACCAAAGAGTTCCTCTGAAGGATCATAACCCATCTGTCGCTGTTCAAAAGTGAAATTCCAATCAATGAGAGTGTACAAAGAGTGGGTGGATAAATTGGTAAACGATTTGTAAGAGATAGAGAAAGATTTTAATAGTAATACGTTGTTTTGTCTGGAAGATGAAACTGAGCCATCTTCGTTGTTGTTGTCGGAAGTAGAAGAAGAAATCGCGCGAGGAAAGAAGACGAATTTTGAGTTGGGATGGAGAAGAAATTGAAATCGGGTGTTCTTCTTTCTCATCCATTGTGGCTGCAAAACCTGAAACCTAGCAAGAATCGAGCACATGAGGAGTCAACAAACCCTGGTTACAATTACTATCAAGGAAGATCAGATCAGGAACACCCACCACCACACACACGAGTGTTCGTCTGCAAAATAAGAGAAGCTTTAACTTTGCTGCGTCTTCGATAGATTGTGGCTAATACGCGGGGACTATACAACGTGGCATATGTTTTACTCTCTTATTCGAACCAACCAACAACTGTGCTAATTACTTCAATTTATACTTCTACAATTCTACTCTAACCAATCAAATTCTTCGAACATGGAAGATATACGAGAGTAAATACTAAATAATACAAAAAAGTTAGTATAAACTTATTACAAGGGAATCAAATGACATTTTCGACCAAAAGAACGCAATAAAATCTCGATTAACCTTTTATTTTTATAAAAATCAGACTCAAAAAAGAAATCAATCGTCTCAAATGAATAGAGAAATCAAAACCAATGATCTAGGCACAAAATTCTATTCCCAAAGTAAATAAGTAAAAAAGTAACACAATTTGAGACAACCAAAAAATATATTGGAAAACATACAAGAAACAGAGACCATCGTCCTTTGTTTTAACAGCAAACACCATCACTTCCTGCTGAGCTGAACGATATTCTCTCCGGATTTTCTGACCCAAATGTGTATTTGATACCTAACCTTGCATCATCATCCTCATTGACCACCTCTTCGCTCATTGAGGGAAACGCAAACACCAGGGGTGACTTATCTCCTCCTCTGTTGCCGTCGAAACTAAATTGAGGAATCTCGTCATCTTTTCTCGCTTCGTGATGATTTGTAATGGCAACACCACCACCACTTGGTGCTGGGCTTGTTGTGAAGGGCATGATGGATGGAGTTGTGGGCTCTGATGATGTTGCTCCATCAGATGACGAGACCGGGAATGTGAAGCCAGCGTTTGAGCCTGAAGGGACTGCCCATTTTTGGAAGGGCTTGGCTACTGAGATCGATGGAAGTACCGGTTTGTTATTTCCCAGTGAGTGAGATGGTGGTTTGGGGAGATTTGCAGTTTCGCCTCCAAAAGAATAGGGAACAGCTTTTGCAGCGTCCCGAGAAGAAGTAACCACCTGCAATTCAATTTTCCACAAGATCAGAATTCAAACGGTCAACAAAGATATATATATATATCTGCACAAATGTTACCAACTGTTAGAAGTTTCTCCAGTTTCCGGAGAGCTCTAGGAGTCACAAAAGAATCATAAACTTAATGAAGCTTGTTTACTTCCTATGTTACGGGGTATATTAAGGTTCCTCACATTCAAAAGCCAAAACATGGTGCAAGATGCATTAAGATAAAAAAAAAAAAAAAAGTGCTCAAAATACCTCATCATGTGTGCTTCTGGAAAGAGAACCCTTAGACTTCCCTAACTCATATTGGAGTGCGGTACTACTACTACTTGCTGCTTGTGTTCCACCGAATATTCCATTTGAAGCAGAAGCAGTTTTGTTCATTCCATTTTGAGTGTCACCAGTGGTAGTTGCAGGTGGTTTAAGCACAGAGGATGACAGATTCTGAGAGAAAATGTTCTGGATATCTTCCTTCAATTTAGCTGAGCCATCCTTTTTCACATTGTTAACATCCGAGCTGCTTTTTTCAAGGGTTTTCGAAAACTGTGGATATCTCCAAGAAGTGGCAAGCTTTAACTCAGCAGATTTATTTTTCGGGGTGGATTGGGATTGGGCCCGTTCAAGGTGATCCAATATTGTCCTAGCAATCTGACTAGAATGTGTAGGCACAGTCGGGGTACCAACTTCTGACTCTTTATGCTTACCATAAGTTGTTGTCTGGGACCTAGATAGGTAACTTGATTCCCCTGCTTCAGAGCTCTTCATGATAGCAGAATTTTCAAAACGAGATATACCACGGGAAGGTCGTGAATAAGGAGACACCAAGGATGGCGTAGAGCTCTGACGAGATCTTCTACTTGGTCCAAAAAGTCCACCATCCCTTCCCTTGCTAAGCTGTGCACATTAGAAAGTGGTTATATCAGGTTTCAACTCAGGAAATAGGAATTAGGAGATATAAGGAACCCAGGAAAAATTGAAAAGGCAGTATAGTGATGACTCTAATTTAGAACCAAGTTTTACAAAAGGTAACAAGACCTAGAGGATCGACATTATGAATGCATAGACGAAAATAACTGCAAAAAAGTCAAGGCAAAGGTGTCCAAAATTAAGTCATCCACACAACTGCATATGCGATCTATTCTTCTGTTGCCTAAATCACATCAACCACCGTTTCATTCACATTCTTCAAGTATGCATTAGATAACCAGTCAAACCCAGGTTAAGCCAATAGAAAACAATTTCCATCAATCAAGTGGCAAGAACAGTACTTTGAAACAATTAACTGACTGCTGAAGTCCCTTTTCTTAAGATCCCACCTCAGGTAGATTCCCTAACACCATCTCAAGAGGTAAAGGAGGACCTAAATTCAATAGCACATTTTCACAGAGAGAGCCATTAGGACCTATTTGAAGCAAGAACTATATGATCTTCTAGTTGATAAATGTCGCCTATCTCTGAGCAAAGTCAGAGGGTTTAGCGCTTGCAAGTTGATAGATAACATTAGATATATATACTCTAGAAAGTGGGAATGTTTAGTACTGTAAATTTCTAATCCCTTCTGAAGTCCCATAAAATAAAATCCAGGACAGTTGAAAATATTCCATCATCAAGCATCAGCATTAAGAACGACATGCTAGAAAGAAGCCATCCAAAACCTCAATTAAGGAGTTTGGAAGTCAATATGTCCGGGAAGAATACAATACTTTCTTTAATATTGTCTTAAAAGTGTACAAAAATAAATAGTTAGCACACATTTATGAAATAACTCTTACTGGTAATCAAGATTATAGAGCCCACTGAGAGAGTTTACCTGGCCATATCTTGTCTCCACACTTTGACTGGGAGACTGGAGGTTGCTTAAGCGCTTGCTACTATCGTTCTGCAATTGCATCAACTAAACCAAAAAAAAAAGGAACAGCTCAAATATACCAAAAATATTTAGTAAAAAGTAATAAGAAAAAACTCCACACACCTTTGACTTAGAATTTGAAAGGATGGTTCTAGAATATGGGGTCCTTGGAAAATTTTGAAGCCCATAGCTTTCTCCTCGGCTTTGAGGAGTTGCAAAACCAGATTGCTCACTTGACTTGATACCAGGCCAACAAGCATAAGGCTTGCTTGATGGTGATGCAAGTGATGATTTTCCTACAAGCATACTCCTATCTAAACAATCCTTTTCATTTCTTGCTACAAAACCTTGGGAACTACTTGATGATGTCTGACCTCCCATATATGCCTTAGCAAGTTCTGCCGGTGAAAGACCAACTTCATCTCGTATCTGTTTGTCTCCTTCAAAAATCTATGAAAAAAAGTTAATGCGAAAAAGTGAGTAAATAAAAAAATAATTAAGGAAACAAGGACCAGTGAAGAAAGAATTATCAACTCTTTGATGAAGCAAATATGTGTAATTACATAGTTCTTCCTGTTTACATATTTCTTCATAAGTTTTCACAAACAGTCCAACCTCAAATTACTCCTATTGTCTGCAAACTAAACTTTTAGAATTTTCTGGCAACTGGAATAGCCTAAACAATTAATGTTAATGCTAGTTTCATCAGAACAAACGAGGCTGGATAGCAAACAACTCACTATTGACTTGGCAAGTGGGGTTGGTGTAGCCCATAGTTCACTATTAGCATCCTTGACACCAATGGGATCTCTTGTCTTATCAAACAAACTCATATTTTTCTTGGCTCCCTCTCTCAAAGGAATCTCCAAATTTCTCTCGTCTCTCTTGACATCAGGTAGATCAATAGCCCTTGAACTTATTATCTCTATGAGACGATCAGTTTCAGCTCTGGATAGAGATTAAAAGATGTCAGTGTAAAAATGGTATATAATCAGAACTGTCAAGAAAAGATAACAGAAAGGCCAGGAAAAATAAGCAGTTAGTCAATAAGATACTAATGACCGAGACGTGACTATAAGCATTAACAAGAAAATCAAGTACTAACATAAAGAACATACTGTGAAAATGTTTTTCCTTCCATTAGCCTTTCAAGCTCCGAGATTGCAACAGCGTCATTTAAAGCTGCTTTCCCTCTTCCCTGTGCACTGATACTGAAATTGCCTTCGTTCCCGTTTGCTGTACCACTAGGACCTCCCACTTCAATTGATGCTGACTCCGGTTTCTGAAAAGTTTATCGAATCACTTAAAGATAAAAAATGATGTATGCCATCATAGCAAATCACAAAAGCAGGCATTAAATGACGAGAGTATGAATAGCAGGACGGAATAAAATTGTGATATTTACTTAGAATCAAGAGAAAGATCCAACTCAAGAGCAAGGAACAGTAAGATTACATCTTTCTTAGGTTATACATTTATAATTTATGTTACCAGAATCTCACAGAAGAAAATTGCATGACTGTTTTCTTGGGTAACACATTCTTTATAGTATTAAATCAGCTGCAATATAAATCAGGCCGGTAAGACAAAAGCAATGTCTCATCATACAACACCTCGCTCAATTTGATATCAATGTAATATTATCAGTTGAGAAATTAACAAAAATAAATTCTAAAAGACGCCTAACAGCAAAGTGTCAAAGATACCAAAAACTCATTTGAATAAAACTTCAGTATGATAAAGAATGCTTATATATGTTAGCCCTTATTTCACATGTGGTTGATAAAATAGCACATGACAAAGAACCCAAAAAAACACGCTAGCAAGGTCAAAAGAAATCAGCTTAGCTAAAGAAGTAAGTTCCCAATTGAGTTTAAGAAAAGATAGAGGAGGGGTTGAAAGACACTTACATTTAAACTTGGGGTTACACTGGGATCATTGTCTAGTGGATCATTCTGCAACTCACCTAGTAGAAAGAGAGGCCAAATGTTAAACCATGACAGCTCGAACGAAATATATTAGCCTATAACACTAAATTGTAAATACATCCCAAAAGAGGAGATAACAACTCTTTATCTTTTACAACAACTAATTTATGAGCAAATAAGTATTACATCCATCACTCACTTGATACTAAGAGCTATTTAGTAACAACAGAGCATACATTTAGTCAGTATCAAAGTAGTCTCGCTAGCAAAAAATAAAAAACTAACAGTGGCTAAGACTAAGACCACACTGGGTGACAAAATCCTCTTACTTAGAAGTCATGAACAAACCGCAAACAGAAAAGCCTTAACTTGTATAATTCCACTTAAATCAAAACCAAAAGAACCCTCTTCTATCCTGGCGATTGTCACTTCAAATTTACAGCATCGAAACAATTGCAACAAAACCCTAGATACTCCTAAGCAGAGAAACAGATATACCACCATAGAGATCAGTTGATTAATAAATCCCTAAAGCTGCAGAAAAAAACTCAGGAAGAGAAGCCTTAATACGAGGCTAGAAAGAGCAAGTATAGACCAAAAACCTTGATGTTGATCTTGATCCTCTGGAGCAGTAAGAGCAGGAGGAGAGGTGGCTTTGGAGAAGAAATATGGAAGTATTCTCGTAGCGCCGCCGGAGATAATCCGATAAGCAGGATCGACGATTCTCGAGATCCACGGCCTCCGTTGTAACTGATTCTGTGGTGGTCGAGAATACGGCGTCGCCGCATGCCTCCTCGCGGATTGCCGCTTCAATTTGCCACCGACACCTCCCGTCGGATAGCTCGACGTCGCCGTCGCGGCCGCGGAGAACGTCGCTTCTCCTTCAGTGGCCATGAGCTCTCTTTTGTTTCAGTGTTCGTTTCTCAAATTTTTACCACTTTCTCTTATAGAACGAACCTTTTTGAGTTTTCTGATTTTATCCCGAGAAAATATATATTCGTAAGTGTAATTTGCGCTATTTTTAAGTCAAAGGGTTGTTGTGTTCATGTGTGTGTGCTTTTTCGACATTTTTCTTGTATCTTGTATATTTTTCAGAAAATCAAGAAATAGTTAAAAGAAGAAGGATTTTTTTGAAAAATTATCTTTTAATTGAGATTGAGGGAAGCAAAATTGGAAGATTATCTAACCAAAAAAAAAGAAAAAATCTTGAAGGTTAAAAGAAATATACTATTTGTTTAGAACTTTAGATTTTGGGAGCTAATAATTTAGGGTTTAGAGTTTAGTTGTTAGTTTTTTCATTTTTAGGGTGTTAATATGACACACCATAGAGTTCTTTTGTGAGGACCTTTTTCAAAAGTTTATCTTTCTTACTAACATTTGTTCTAATGTAGCTAAATATCAAAATACAGTTTAGTCTGAGGTTTGTGTGATTTGATCGCACAGTTGTAAAAATGGGAAAGGTAATGCACACTTGTGCCTCGCGAAAGAGTGATCGCTGCGGTTTAGGAATTGCTTAACCATGTGGAAATTCGTTCGTTTAACGTCAAAGGGGTGATGGTAAGTTGCCTAGGCCGAGGAAAGATTGTCGCATCTTTCCTAGAAATTTTGTCATTTTAACACAAATTTTATGAAAAAAAAAACTAATTTTTAAACAGAAAAAATGAATTTTTAAATCTTAAAAAGAGTGTTTTGAAAAATAGGTCCACTTTTTTTTTCAATAGGTCCACTTCAATTAAAATTTTGTCAAATAGATGGATTATAATCTCTTGTTGCACACCTAACCCATCTCTTGCGACCCGAGCCTGATATACCACTGCCTTTAACTCTGACATCGAGCAAGATCGAGCGGCCGGCTACAGGAATTTGCTTCTCTAAAGTTAAATACCTTATTCTGCTGATCACTGTCTACAAACTTCAGGTCTCATGGGCAGCTAGCTCACTGCCTTTGTATATCTGTCTGAGCATAAAAATCCTCCAAACGGACTTAATGTTACCAGATTTCTCTTTGATTGTTTTTCCTCAGACATGACTTCACAGACTCAAGTAGGTTGTAACAAGAGGTGCTAGTGGTTCTCCTGACGACAATTTTCAGCCTCTCTAATGGCTAACATGACACTGAATCCCTTCATCAGAAGAAGAACTGGCAGTCATCTTCATTCATAGTTGTTCTCCATTGTAATAGGTTTGGTGTGTGCAGGCTCGGTTCTAGGTCCGGTCAGAAATTATCACAACCCCAATTCATTTACACCAACCAAAAAGCAAAACTTTTATTGCATATCTTATTATTCTTTCAGTGGTATTACTACAACTGAGACAAATTCTAACACCGAGCAGAGAAACACCCATAAAAGGCTTAACTAAAGAATTCACATTAAACAAAAGGGTTAGATAAGATCATAGACGTGACACGTTTATCTAAATCTATATAAAAGACTGGATGGTAATGCCGACCACGAGTTTAAGACATGGCCGTGATTGGAGAAGGTCCGGTGAAGAAATTCATTCGAGAAGTTTGATGTTCAAGTTCTTCTTCATGTATCTCTTCCTTCTCCTCTTCTTCTTCCTCTTCAGCATCCCATAGAAACCGTGCATACGAAGCTTGTACATAACTGCAGAAAACAACAAGTACATAGACCCAATTTAAGCACAAAAGCCACACAACTACTATCAAAATCCCAAAGAAGAGAGCTTGATTTATAAAGTTAGAATCTTTTTCTTACCAGTCCTCAGGAGCAGCTGCAACAGCTTGATTGAAGTAAGTCTCAGCACGAGATGAATCCTTATGGATCTTCCAAACCAACTCAGCGTACATAGCTAGAATATTCCCATCATTAGGACTCACCAGAATAGCTCTCCCACAATATTCCTCTGCTTTCAAGTAATCTTTTCGAACCTGTTTCAATCAATCATATGACACATCTCAATTTGATAATCCCCAAATCAAAGTTCCAATTCAATTCAGATCTAGAAAGAGAACAAAGAGCAAAAAAAAAAAAAAAGAAACTATACCTCCTTCAAGAATTTGGCGTAATTGCTGAGAAAAATCCCATTTCCAGGATTTGCTTCAATCATCTTCCGATAATGAACATCAGTGTTATCGTCACCTCCATCACCACCATCAGATCTACCACCACTCCTTCCTTTTCCTCCACCGTGAAACATCCCACCACCACCACCGCCAGTAACCTCAGTATCTTCCTCCAAAGCCCAACTTATACCATCATAAGACGACGTTCTTATAAGACCGAATCCAATTCCTTCTTCCATATCCTCCAACAAAGCACCACCGCTCAAAAACTTACTCACCGGCGGTTTCGTCGATGTCCAATGTCGTAGATCGCTCTCTGACGCCGTCCTTTTCATCTTCCTTGAAGATTCGTCACTAGATTTTACAGACATCGGGCTATAACAGCAAGAAGAAGAAGACGCAGAGAGTGTTAAGGATTTGTGCCGTTGAATCTGATGAACAGATTCAGCTACTTCGATGGGAGATTCTCTAGGACTCGAGACATGAACCAATGAATTGAGAACTGGCGTTGATGCGCTTCGTAGAAGCATCTCTCTTCTGGATCTGAATTACGAGATTCGATTAAAGGAAGAAGAAAAGCTTAGATTTGTTGTTTTCCAGGTTTGAGCTGGAGATGAGAAGTGAAGACGGTGCTTATAATAGAGAGGCAGGTAAAGGAAAAACAATCTCAGCCGTCGATTAGTTTTTAATCACGTGGTGGGTGTTTAATTATAAATTATTATTTTTGGTTAATTAAATTAGTTTATTGTTCATTCGCCAAGATTTTTTTTTTGTTTTGGTTGATTTATTTCTACAAGTGGTGTGTACCAAAATGATTTTTAATTTGACTTTGCTTGTGTATGATTGGTGTGCGGATTCTTCTCTGTTCGTTAGTACTACTAGTAGACGATTCGAGAATTAGGGAAAAAAAGAAAGAAAAAGAAGCTAATAAATAAAAATCTCGTGACAAAACGCGGAACTGGTTCACGAAGGTCGCGGAATTGCAAGTGGACGGCAGTGTCACCAGAAAAAAATGGTTCACGGCCAATCTCTCTACAAATGACACGTGGGACAAAACATGTAACAGATGTACGGTAGTAGATTCGTTGATTGTTTTTGCATAAAGTAATGTATTTATACGTAGATGTGTGCAAAAAACACAAAAATTGTTTTTTCTTAGCAAACAAAAAAACAGAAAAGTGATCTAAAAAAAATGAAGGATTGTAATTATATGAGTAATTTGAGAATCAATTGGGTGGGTGGGTCCTTCTTTGATTGTACGGTTCACGGTTCCATGTGGCTCACGAATGTTGTAATTGACGCTTTAGTAGCCCATAACCATTTCTATCTTTTGATTTTTTTGGGGTCCCATTCTAAGTTGATAAACATGGCCAAAATTTGGTTTCTGTCTTTGATAATTGATACTAGTAACTTTTAACTTTTCGGTAGTACAACAATTAGTGTCAAAATAAGATAAAAATAGTACAACTAATGTAAGTATTACGAAAGTGCTTATTTTGGCTCAATTCAACGGCAAATTTTAATTTGAATTGCAGTTTTAGACTACACCATCATCTATAAATCTTTGTATACTATAAAAACCAAACTAATTTTCAAGACAGTTTTTTGATAAAATTTCTACTATCGATCTAAACTTTATATAATTATAAAGCCGAAACTACCAAACTGAAACTAAAAAGTTCTGATCCTGAAGCTAGAATTGCGAGAAGACAATGAACTGAAATCTTATAACTTTAAAATTAGAATTCAACCAAATACATTAATCAAAAGACAAATGAATAACTCCATTATTCAAGAACAACCGTGACCAATACGTCATATGGTCCAACTAAACAAATGATATAAATTAAAGATCATGTTAATGTTCATTGGCAAGCGATCCTGAACCTTTGAGAAATTATCCTGTTTGAATTATATATTCTGTAAATTAATTATCCCTTTCGTATTTTTGTTTCCTGTGAAAGAAACACAATTATGATGGTTCTCTCAAGATCAATTGGTTAAAATTGCAGCTCAAAAACGGAAAATACGAAAGGGTATGTCAATTATTGATGAGGTGATTTTTTTGGAATGAAGCTGTTAACGATTTGACTGAGAGGGAAAGTTTATGTCCAAAAGTAGTACTGTCCAAAAGTGGGGCCCATGGGATATGCTTGTTGGAGTGGGCTTCCTGTGACCTCTCACACCACCACGTAGGACCTACGAGCCGAGTGCTCAACGGTGGAGAAAGAGATGGGGTCGTTGTCGTTGAGAAGTCATCGTCTCTCCCATTTCTCTGTATTTGATTCGCATTTAGTGGGTGAGCTTTGTGCAGCCTCATTTTGGAATAGTGAAATTTGATTATAAACATGCGCAAATGACCCCAACATTTATTTCAAACTATTTGGTACGCGGTGAATACAAATTCAACCACAAATTGCACATTTCATTGCCATGTAATCGATACTGGATATACTAATCAAGAAACACATGTTATTTTGATCCCTCTAGCTCAATAGAACTTGAAGCAACATATGCCCCAGTGGAAAAAATGTAAAAAAGCAAATACTCGAGTGTCATAATATATCTCTTTTTCAGGTCATGCAAGGCACAATCAAACAGGTCTCTAACGAGCCTATGACTGACCAAAGTAAAAGTGGAGAGATATACAATAATGTTTCACCTTACCAGGAATTGGAAGAAACTGCGATTACAACTCTTGAAGAATAAAAAAGGGAAATGCTGACATCCTAATTTCCTTGTTTGAAAAGAATGGATGCAAGACCTGACCTCCATCCGAAAAACGCTGTTGGCATAGGCCTTTTGTGTAAAAGTGATGCCAGACCGGCTGATACACCCTGACCAGGCAGCCTCGTCATCTCCTGACTAGCAATCGACTCAGACAACCTGTTTTATAAACATAAAACACTTTTAAAAGTAAGTTTCTTGTTACTTTCAACTCTGCAAAGGATAACAAGTGCATATACTTCATGCTTCTGTGTGATGTTCCATTATAGTGAAACCGGATTACATTTATCGAAACTAAATTGCATTTTAGTAACTTTTCAACACTCTGAATCAACGGAAAACAGCCAAAACAAGATTACAGTCTTTAGCAAACATAAGATTCGCCATACTAGCTACTCAGTTTCCATTGAATAAGAAACATTTTCAGGCATTAAGTGATTTACAATGGTCAAATGAAAAGCAAAGCTTTAGATCTCTAGTATCTTTGTACCCATCTTCATGAACGACATACACGGTATTTACCCCACAAAAATCAAAAGAAACACCTAATTACTCAAAAGCGAAAAACATAGCATACAAGATTCACTTACAACGGGGAAGGTATAATTCCTTCATAAGCAAAGGAGCTGAACCCTTGTCTTTGCTTGTGCTTAGGATTGGAAGAACATATGATATAGACACGTCCACGACGTTTCACTGTTTTACAAAACTCACACATCTTCTTCACAGATGATCTCACCTTCATGGCTCCTCACTCTGCAATTTCGCAACCATCATTAAAAAGAGTGCAGTACCAAAACTCAATAGATGAAAATGAAAGAGAACTCTTCAAAGTATTCAACTTTGAGATTCATAACTATAAATTTTATCCCCTACACATCTCATTTCTACTAAACTACCCAAAATTGCAATCCTTGTTTAATCGGATGATGGAACCAAAAGTAAAACGAATCTGAAGCATCCATCTCTAACTACACCGAATCACAAAAGAGCAAGAACTGAGAGCAAACCCTAGATAGATCCAGATACGAAATCAAATGAAAATCAACGAGAACCATGAACAACAAAATACCTTGCGAATTCAAAGGCGACTACGAAGAAGAGCGATCGATTCCCAAATGCAAATGAAAGGGTTTAACGGAGGAGTTTTGCAGAACTTGTAGTACAACATATTTTTGGGCTTTTAATGGGCTTTACCCGAATAAGTATCCGGAAAAGTTTCGACCCGGAATTATTAGATCTAAATAACCGATTTGGAGCGGTGAAGCGTTTTGGCCGGACTGTGTCACCGTCGACCTAGAAAATCTGAGGTTTTGACCGGGAAAATTTTTCTGTAGCGAAATGGACAGCGACATGGAAATCTCTCTAGACAGGCTTCCTATAAAACGATTGGAATCTATTGAGGAAAATGGCGCCGAGCGTTTTCCTTCGTAAGTTTTGTCTTTATGTTTGAGAAACGAGACAGAATCTTCCCAGATTGATTTGCTTCTGAATGATTCGTTTTGTTTTTGGTTTACGTGTAGTGATGTTGGTTACGATGATAAGAGAGTTTCGCTGATTCGGAGAATAGACTTCGCGTGGGCGTTGGAAGAGGAAGATGAGCTGAAGAAGAAGAAGCAGAAGAAAAGCTCCAAGGATAGCGCGGAGCAATGGAAGTGGAAGGGAATGGTTGAGAATTTGCAATTGGCTCATCAGGAGCTCTCTGTCATCATAGACCTTATCGACACTGTGAGTGATTCTTCTTACAAAATGCTTTTTTGTTGATAATATATTAGAATCTTTAGTGCTTGTTTATTGGTTTGTTGGAAGGAGATGAACAAGAATTTCTTACTGTGTCCAACAAGGTTGCAAAAATATACATAGAGCAGATGTGATTTTGGGGTGATATTCGAATAGAGAGTTAATAAACTTAACAATTTATTTTCTGATTTTATCTTTGAAGGTCCAAGCAAATGATGCAGTAACAGTTGCTGGGATGACCAGACCTAAGCCGCTGCCGAATGAGATTCTCTCGGATCTTGCTGTGTCTACTGCTACCAAGTTGCAGGGCTACCGGGTAACCTGTAGCTTACTTTCTTATGTGCAAATTAATTTTGTTTTAAGATGGAAGGATTCTGGTAATTGTATTGGTTAGACACTTTTTAGTAGCCTGAGAAACTATTGCAAAAATGAACTAGCTTACCTAAAGAGCTTTTTAACTATATAATTGTCTTTGGATGGTATGCCTATCTCACTTCTGAATGCCTGTTTCCTCTGCAGAACTTAGGAAACTACTTTAAACAATCAGCAAAAGCTTTAGAGCAGAAAATCAATCGCGAAGCAAGGTTTTATGGTGCTCTTATCAGGTTCGAGTATTTGCTAATAAACTTTCCATTTAGTGTCAGTGGCTATTTTTCTTAGTGCCATTTTGCAACTTTAAGACTTTGCTGTTTGCATTCTTGATACTATATTTAGGTAGCTTACAATGTTATAGCTATTTGTGTTGTGCTCAGATAATTGGCATCCCATTTTTGGATCTATAATTATTACGCTCATAGGTTTTGTTATATGTTGTGACTTATGACTGATAAACGTGAAAGCATTTTATTATTCTTGTTTATTGTTAAAAAAAATCCAAATTTCGACTTCTACACCGACTCTGTTGCTGAACTCTGATAGTACAGTACTTCAGGAACATCCATTTTGGTGTGTATTGACTGCTTAGGACTATGCCAACACAAATTAGATAATTTCCGTTGAAATTGTTTATAATTTGCAGAAGATGACTTCTTCAGCTTCCAGAATAGAGATTGATTAATATGTGCAAATGGTTATTTTTGCTATGCTGACAAGCTTATAGGTTGCAGCGGAACTGGAAAGTCAAGAGACA